GTACCCATTTTTAAAAAAGGGAAGAAGGAGGATCCTGGGAACTACAGGCCAGTCAGCCTCACCTCAGTCCCGGGAAAAATCATGGAGCAGGTCCTCAAGGAATCAATTCTGAAGCACTTAGAGGAGAGGAAAGTGATCAGGAACAGTCAGCATGGATTCACCAAGGGCAAGTCATGCCTGACTAATCTAATCGCCTTCTATGACGAGATAACTGGCTCTGTGGATGAGGGCAAAGCTTTTGACACGGTCTCCCACAGTATTCTTGACATCAAGTTAAAGAAGTATGGGCTGGATGAATGTACGATAAGGTGGATAGAAAGCTGGCTAGATTGTCGGGCTCAATGGGTAGTGATCAATGGCTCCATGTCTAGTTGGCAGCCGGTATCAAGTGGAGTGCCCCAAGGGTCGGTCCTCAGGCCGGTTTTGTTCAATATCTTCATAAATGATCTGGAGGATGGTGTGGATGGCACCCTCAGCAAGTTTGCAGATGACACTAAACTGGGAGGAGAGGTAGATACGCTGGAGGGTAGGGATAGGATACAGAGGGACCTAGACAAATTAGAGGATTGGGCCAAAAGAAATCTGATGAGGTTCAACAAGGACAAGTGCAGAGTCCTGCACTTAGGATGGAAGAATCCCATGCACCGCTACAGACTAGGGACCGAATGTCTCGGCAGCAGTTCTGCAGAAAAGGACCTAGGGGTTACAGTGGACGAGAAGCTGGATATGAGTCAACAGTGTGCCCTTGTTGCAAGAAGGCCAATGGCATTTTGGGATGTATAAGTAGGGGCACTGCCAGCAGATTGAGGGACGTGATCGTTCCCCTCTATTCGACATTGGCAAGGCCTCATCTGGAGTACTGTGTCCAGTTTTGGGCCCCACACTACAAGAAGGATGTGGAAAAATTGGAAAACGTCCAGCGGAGGGCAACAAAAATGATTAGGGGCCTGGAACACATGAGTTATGTGGAGAGGCTGAGGGAGCTGGGATTGTTTAGTCTGCAGAAGAGAAGAATGAGGTGGGATTTGATAGCTGCTTTCAACTACCTGAAAGGAGGTTCCAAAGAGGATGGATCCAGACTATTCTCAGTGGTAGCGGATGACAGAATGAGGAGTAATGGTCTCAAGTTGTAGTGGGAGAGATTTAGGTTGGATATTAGGAAAAACCTTTTCACTAGGAGGAAAAAGAAAAGGAGGACTTGTGGCACCTTAGAGACTAACCAATTTATTTGAGCATAAGCTTTCGTGAGCTTCTTTTTGCGAACACAGACTAACATGGCTGTTACTCTGAAACAGTTCACTAGGAGGGTGGTGAAACCCTGAATGGGTTACCTAGGGAGGTGGTGGAATCTCCTTCCTTAGAAGTTTTTAAGGTCAGGCTTGACAAAGCCCTGGCTGGGGTGATTTAGTTGGGGATTGGTCCTGCTTTGAGCAGGGGGTTGGACTAGATGACCTCCTGAGGTCCCTTCCAACCATGATATTCTATGATTGTAGATGATGGGCTGTTTGGGAGCTGATGACTCCCTACTTTATTATAGGGATTAGTAATTATGCTTCTGTACTAGCCTGTTTTTCCTTACACAGAAGCAGTCAGTAAAGATAAACCAAGCATGTCATTTTAGTAGCACAAGCCTTGTAGTCTCAGACTTAAGGTCCTTCTCTTTCAGAACATGAGACTCAAACTCACTATCTCAGATCAAGCTTACAGGTTGGAGCATAGATTGTTTTCCACCTTGTGAGACTGGGTTATTTTTATTATGGCTGATAACTATCTTCTCTTCTTCCTTCTCTTCTCTCAAAGGGAAAACGAACAAAGGGTTGATCCATTGAATAATGTTTAAAGCAGAAGCTGATGGGAGAGTTAGCCCTTACAGAGCTACAGGCTGTCCTGCAAGTGCAAGTCTTTACCATTCAGATTTCACTTTCCTTTCCTCAGCTGCTTCACCACTGTAGCTCCCCAGTATCCTAGGCCTTTGGACATATAACAGCAACATTAACACTGTTATAAAACAAGTAGTATAAATGACAGAAAAGATAATTAGGCTCAGCAACAGGTGTCTTTCTAATTTGCAACATCCAGCAGGAAGACTTCAGGGAAAGAATGTTCCTTTGTCTATCATCTTTCTACCACCTCCACAGTGTATCCAGTTGCTCTTGGAGATGGGCTGAACCAGATGGGTAAGTATTATCCCATGAAATCCCAAAGCATATTCTATCCTACATTACTTCAACCTTCTGCCTTTCAAATCAGCAACAGCACAGTGAGAATAAATGCCTAAGATGAGAGTTGGCAGCACAGGCATTTTGCAAAAAGTCACCTGGAAGAACAAAATGTGTGAATTTTAACAAACATCACAGTATTTTACTTTTCCCTGTGACTGTGCACCAAAGTGCAGCTGAGAAGGAAGACTCTGGGGGCTAGAATGGGAAGACAAACAAACTTTCACCATTATAAAATCTTATCCTTCCTTACAAGGAAAGGTATTTGTTCAAGCTTTCTAATAATTTGTCACTATTTTCTGCACTCTCTCAAATTTTCAGCATACTTTTTTAAAACATGAACGCCAGAAACATACACTTCTACATACACTACATAGTAATGTTCTCTTGGCTTCACCAACACTGTGTTCCTGTTTATACATCCAAGGATCATTAGTTCTTTTTGCCAAAGCATTCCATTAGGTGCTCATCTTCAGTTGCTCGTCCACTGTGACCAATAAATCCTTTTCCAAGTCCTTGCTTTCCAGGATACAGTCCCCCATTTTCTAGGTATTGGGTACATTCTTTGTTCCTAGATGTAATACTTAGGGCTGTCAATCACATTTAACTCACATGATTAACTCAAAAAAAATTAATCATGATTAAAAAAATCACAATTGCCATTTTAATTGCACTGTTAAACAATACCAATTGAAATTTATTAAATATCTTGGATGTTTTTGTACTTTTTCAAATATATTTATTTCAATTACAACACAGAGTACAACACAAAGTGTACAGTGCTCACTTTATATTTTTTTATTACAAATATTTGCACTGTAAAAATGATAAACAAAAGTGGTATTTTTCAGTTCACCTCATACAAGTATTGTAGTGTGATCTCTATCATGAAAATGCAACTTACAAATGTAGATTTTTTTGTTACATAATTGCACTCAAAAACAAAACAATGTAAAACTTTAGAGCCTACAAGTCCGCTCAATTCTACTTCTTGTTCAGCCAGTCGCTAAGTTTGTTTATATTTACGGGAGATAATGCTGCCCACTTATTTAAAAAGTCACCAGAAAGTGGGAACAGGTGTTCACATGGCACTTTTGTAGCCGGCATTGCAATGTATTTACCTGCCAGATATGCTAAACATTCATATACCCCTTCATGCTTCGGCCGCCATTCCAGAGAACATGCATCCATGCTGATGACGCTCGTTAAAAAAATGTGTTAATAAAATTTGTGACTGAACTCCTTGGGGGAGAATTGTATGTCTCTGGCTCTGTTTTACCTGCATTCTGCCATATGTTTCATGTTATAGTAGTCTCATATGATGACTCAGCACGTTGTTCATTTTAAGAACACTTTCACTGCAGATTTGACAAAATGCAAAGAAAGTCCAAATTGTGAGATTTGTAAAGATAGCTACAGCACTCGACCCAAGGTTTAAGCTCTAAAGTGCCTTCCAACATCTGAGAGGGACAAGATGTGGAGAATTCTTTCAGATGTATTAAAAGAGCAACACACTGATGTGGAAACTGCAGAACCCGAACCACCAAAAAAGAAAATCAACCTTCTACTGGTGGCATCTGACTCAGATTATGAAAATGAATGCGTTGGTCCGCACTGCCTTGGATTGTTATTGATCAGAACCTGTCATCAGCCTGGACGCATGTCCTCTGGAATGGTGGATGAAGCATGAAGGGACATATGAATCTTTAGCGCATCTGGCATGTAAATATCTTGCGATGCTGGCTGCAACAGTGCCATGCAAATATCTGTTCTCACTTTCAGGTGACATTGTGAACAAGAAGCAGGCAGCACTATCTCCTTCAAATGTAAACAAACTTGTTTGTCTGAGCGATTGGCTGAACAAGAAATAGGACTGAGTGGACTTGTAGGCTCTACACTTTTACATTGTTTTATTTTTGAATGCAGTCAGGTTTTGTATATAATTCTACATTTGTAAGTTCAACTTTCATAATAAAGAGACTGCACTACAGTACTTGCATTAGGTGAATTGAAAAATACTATTTCTGTTTTTACAGTGTAAAATATTTGTAATCAAAAATAAAGTGAGCACTGTACACTCTGCATTCTGTGTTGTAATTGAAATCAATATATTTGAAAATGTACAAAACATCCAAAATATTTAAATAAACAATAATGGAATAATAACATTTAACAGTGCAATTAATCATACAATTAATTTTTGACAGCCCTAGTAATACTGCTTTTGGAGTGGAGTCCTATCATCTAAAAATAAACTTAATGATGCTGATACAAGATAACCATTAGCCTTAAGAGACTTACATTTCACCAAGGACTAAAGATATGTCATCTGGTCAGGTTGGAAATACTGACTTCACTAGTGAAATGCATTTGCCAAAGCTAGATGCTTATGTTCAGAAAAAACTTTTGCATCCAAAGCTCATCTTGCATTTCTAGTTCTTCAGACTAAGTATCTAGGTGTACTGGGCTATTTTATTTGCTTTTTTCCTTCGCTAAAGGTCGTGGTGTAAGTCTTGCTTAGGTAACCAGCAAAAGAAGACTGTTAAATCTGAACCTCCAACCTCAAAATGAAAAGCTGACTTCTCATAACATTGTGAGCCATGTTAAATGGAAGAGACTACGCAGCAAGTTCACCTCAGTGATTAAAAGGGAAACACCTGTGTTTTTCTTGCTTTGAATTCACTATATTATGAAAATACTTAAAGAATCTTGTCCACGTTAAAACAATTGTGTATGTGTAACTATTTAATGCATCAGAAAATAGTAAATAAAATGGCAAGCTTATTTTTTAAATAACATCTTTAATTAAAGTTTTTGCAAAGGCAAAATATTAAACTTAAAATAGGTCTTAGTACATCAAAATACTAAGTTCTCTAATTGTATTCCAAGCATGGCCTTTGAAACATAATATCCTGTATATCACAGAAGAGCAACCTTGATCTGCAATTGTACAGAATGAATTTTACAAACATAATAAATATATTTACCCCCTTACACATAACAGTATATGTACAACAGCAGTTGACAATAGTAGCTCAGAACAGCAGAAAAGGACGTTCCCCTTCCCCATATTTTTATTAGTACCCTATGCACGCTGGAACAAGTGAACTTTGGATGGCTACACATGTAGCTAATCCAAAATAGTTCTTCCTGTTTAAAAAAGTTCCTTTTTGTCCTCAGTATCCAATCCAAACTAAATTTTAAAAAAGTGAACCACGAAAAAGAGTAGGCAACAGTAGCTTGATTTGCATGAAAAAAAGGCCTGGCTTGTACATATGCCCCAGGCACTCAGAATAATAGGAAATCAAGACTAAAGACACAAATGTAACAACATACAAGTTTCCCCCGTCTTTTGTAACCACTAAACTCAAGATCTGAAACAACTTTGAATTAAATCTTTATAAAAAATTGCAAAGCTGTATAAGGCGACCCAATAAAAATCCACAGTGTGCAGTACCCTAAAGCCACAGGTCTAATTCTTAAACATTTTATTGCATCCTGCAAAACAACAAAAAAGGAACTTTTTCAAATGGAAGACAAACTTCAAAGTGAACTCTAGTGAAAAGGGTCTCATTTTTCTCCTGCATTGGAATAACAAAATTTTTTCCTGGTAGCGTTTTATGGTGACATAATTGCTTTTGGGTATTAATGGATGATACAGTTACTTTCACAAAACAAAACTGAAACCCAGCAAAGTTTACTTACACTGCATTAAAAATAGAAAAAAACAAAAAACCACACTGATACAAAACTGTTAGATCACATTTAGTATGTTATTCGCTCTTTTCCAGCAACTGTGCTTCAGAACCAAATCTAATCCCTTAGAGAATAAACCTGCGACCACAATCTTTATACTTGTCATGATCTGTTGATAGGAAAATACTCAGGTCAAAAAGCAGCTTGAAATTACAATGCAGGAAAAAGGTGGATGAAACCTCAGACATTTTGCCACTAACATTGGGGGCAGGAGAGAATAAAGTTATAAATTTTATTTAAATAGTCCAATATAAAGTTCCTTATGTGACTAAGTCTCTATTATCTCCTTAGCAGACAACATATTTTTATTCCTTTTCAACTTTGATGTTTTTATTAAATGATTGCACACACTAAAAAGCCAATATAATTAGAGCTAAAATGTTTATTTATGACTGAAGCACTGCAGGACACCTACTGTCTCAGGAATCCAATAGACCTCGAGTATCATCATGCTGACAAAGCAGGAATATCTGCAAATTGAGAAGGCACAAGACTCCCAACTTTGTCCAGTTGCTCTGTAAATTTCCATTAGCCCTGAAGGTTAATATTTTAACCATGAAGTTATCGTCCCTATTTTTTCCATCTTAAAGTCAAAAAAGGTGCTCTGTTATCTGTGCAAATCTAAACATAAGCCCTCTTGAAACCGTTAATTGCCTTCATAATACTGAACTATTTAAATGAAAAATCTATTTTCTACTTTCAAGAAAAAAAATTAATAATTTAAAAACTATGAACATGGGAATCCCTTGCCCTCTGAAAGGAATGGAATCTAATGAAATGGTCTGTTCAATTACAACATTAAAACCATGATTAAAATTCAAGTACAATAATAAAATTAAGCAAACTACATTCTTACAGCAAGCTGCTACAATAAAATGAAATTAAAACATGCTTTCTGATTTAAAAAAGGAACACTTGACATAGCAATAAGAGCACAGTTTGGTATGTTTATATTTGACTGGCTTTCAGAAGACTTCACAGGTACTTGTATTAAAAGACCAAAACCCTCATCTGCCAAGCATACCATAATTAATTTGCAAGACACTGTGCATGTACAGATGGTTTCTAAACATCCTTCGAGATAAACTAAATTTAAGTCATCTTTAAAGCTGTGGTATCCCTTAAAATAAATAAAAAGGCTATGCAATGTCTGCTCTAAACATGTGGGTGAAGAACCCTAAATGTAAGAAGAGACTAAATATCTTGTACAGTAATCTGGGTTCCAGTAGTATAAACAGGAATCTGTAGCTAAAGGGGTTTCATTGGTTGATTTGTGCACTATATGGGATTTGTTCTAAGTCCATATTTAAGTAATTTGAAAGGCTATGAATCTACTCGTGATAGCCATCAACACTACTCAAAGATACACAAGAGAAGCAAGGGTAATAATTAGTTGATAAGTAATTGATTTCATTGTAATCACATATGCTTTAAAAGTATAGTGGCACATTAAAAAAAAAACCACAAAATTTCTGCTTTGTACAGAGAAAAAGAAAACGCCACTCAGCATGAGATACCTTGAAGTCCAGAGCCAAATTTGTATCCTAAATGAGTAGAGCATTAATTACCTATGAGTTAGTAACACCAGAAACTGAACTTTAATGACATTTACAATGTATGCAGATCAGGTGGTTTACTAATAAACATATGGCTCTACATGTGAATTAAGGACAATTTCGTTCTATTTAGTAACACCACAGGTGCAAAAACATATGTAACTGCTCAGATTTCTTCCTTGCAATGTGCTGTGCATTTCCTGTAAGCTACTGAGACTATGAATGCATTTGGAGATCAGTAACGAAAGACAGGTAAGGGAGACAGAAGGCAGTTAATATACAGTGCTGATTAAATACACTTGTGATTTCATTAAAAACTATTTTAAAAGTTTCATTTTGCAAGAACAAAAGCCAAGAAGTAGTGGGTAAAGTTTCTGCTTCTGCAGTTCTCCCTAATTTGAGTTACATTTGACTTCCTCTGCCTTCTTTTCATTGCTTTTCAGGTAGCTAGTAAGAACATTAAGTTGTAATGGGGAACCACATAAAGCATGCTCACTCCTTCGTTGGAAATGTCTGATCTAGAATTCCAATTCCCTCTTCTCTGCTGCAGCAGGAACTCCATTCCTGAAAGCCTGATTGCAAGCAGAACCATGTCACTTGGAGATTTTAAACAGGTTCCCTGCAACACATCTTAACTTGTCAATAAGAATATACTTTAAAATTACAGGGTATTTTACAATTAAGCTCTATTTCCTGATTAGCAGAACTTTAGGTAAGGTATAAATGGCTATATATATATATATATATATATACTTTCCCTTATCCAGTTTAGCCATTCCTGTAGTATTTGTCCAACAGTATTCATGGATGCCTGGGCTGTAAATGTAGTAAGTGGTTGGAGGAATGCATACACTAAGAGATCAAAATACCTGGAGTTTTCATTTGCAAGGTCTCCAAGACACTGATCTTTTAAAGAAGTGAAGGAAAGCTACCACAGAGTCCTCTGAGCTCCGTGAGGCTGAACCACTTCAAATGCCAAGAATGTTTTTAAAAATAAAGTAAGTGGTTTGAGTTTTCAGAAGGAGCTACAGGTGCTCAGCACTTTTGAAAAGAGTCATTCATGTCAAATTGAAATGGCTCGAAAATATAAGTAATCATTTTACATTTTGTAACTGCTAGGAATGAAAATTTGTTTATGGGAGAAGAATTGAGAAAATTAACTGTAGTTAAAATTATACATGACTATAGCAGAATTAAAAATATTTTTGTTATACAAGATAATTAAAATGTATCACCTTAATTCTTACTCTTCTGTACAAAGCCTGCACACCGTTCAAACAATATTCTGACCACCCTCACTACCAAAAGGAAGTGTTCAAAACAAAGATTTGTACACACATAAGCATTGTCAGACTACGAGTATATCAAAAGGGAAGAGTTCCTTCAGTTCAGTGGAAGAAATTTTAAAACCTTAACCCAAGGGGAGGAACAGGGAGACAAAGCCTTACATGCTAATTACCAGCTGCAGGTACCTGTATATAGAATTGATAATTAAGGTATCCCAGACAATGCTAGCTGCTACAGTTCCATGGCTTGCCCATTTGAAGTAGTGTCTATGTTGCCACGCTCTACCTTTGTTGCGGTAGTTTTGTTGGTACTGTTCTTTTCTGATGTGCAGACGTAAGTTTTGGTTGAAGTTTATGTCCAAGTCTCAACCTTTCTGATTTTTTCTTTTTTTCTAGTTTTTTGTTTTGTCTTAAAAACTTCACCATTCTGCATCTCCAATGGCTTTGGAAAATACATAATCTCTTCCATTGAGATTCATTATGCCATCTTTGAGGTGAAACTTCCACTTGTTTTTACTTCTATGGATCTAAAAAACAAAATATACATACTGAAATAGTACTCTGTATCAGAAACAAGTAGCAACTTCAGGACTAAACTGACAAGTTAGGAAAAGAAAATCCAGATAATGATTGGTCACATAACTGATCATTATGTATGCATGGAGATCTAAACCCAGGATCTGACCTAAAAAAAAGTGTTATTGCACATCTGGCAACATTTGTGGCTCATTTTCTAGCCAAGGGCAAGTTCCCACAGGAGCCATAAATAAACCCTGTATCCATAGTAATTGTGAAATCCAAGGCACATAACACATTTTATGTAGAGAGAGGAAGGTAATTTAATCTTTATACATCTCTAACATGAATTAATACCCTTTTCCTGTTGGAACTGGGAATGTAGAAATCCATGTGGAAGCAGCACAATTCCAGCTTTTACTCACTATATTGAAGAGATAGGAGACAATTTGTCTGACCAGCCCTGGATGAAAGAGGTGAATGAGGCAGCAATACAGCTCTGACCCTTTACCATCATTTGTTTAACCCCGCTTCTGCGTACAACCCACCTTGCTTGCTGATCTCTGGCAGAAAAAGAGGAGGAAAGTGAAATAGGCCTAATACAAGGTTGGAACTTGCTTCTCCCTGCCGCAGCGCTGCAGCTAAGGTCAGAAACACCGGAGCTGGATTTCTCCGGATGTAAAAGAGAGGGAGCCACCAGACTAGTGTTCTCTCTGAAGGGCCCTCAGCTTTGGAGGCTGCTGCTCTCCTTGGTCTGAGTGGTCAGAGTTATCTGACCTCCAAGACACACTGCTAGACTTATCTATTTACTCAGGCTTTTGAAGAGGAAGGGCCTCGATAGGAGCTGCTGTTTGTGGTGGAGGATAGTTTTGTTCTGTCCTAAGAAGAGTTTTACAGTAGAACCTCAGAGTTATTAACATCTCAGGAATGGAGGTTGTTCCTAACTCTGAAATGCTCCTAACTCTGAATAAAACATTATGGTTGTTCTTTTAGAAGTTTACAACTGAACATTGACTTAATACAGCTTTGATATTTTACTATGAAGAAAAATGCTGTTTTCCCTTTATTTTTTAGTAGTTTATGTTTAAAATAGTACTGTACTGTATTTGCTTTTTTTGTCTGTGCTGCTGCTTGATTATGTACTTCCAGTTCCAAATGAAATGTGCAGTTGACTGGTCAGTTCATAACTCTGCTGTTTGTAACTCTGAGGTTCTACTGTATTGGGAGTGCCTGATTAGTTTGCTTTTATTTTAGGTTTTTGGTTTTTTTTAAGTTATGTCAACTGTAAGCTCTCTGTCCGGGGCCTTCTTTTCATCATGTATAGCAATGGTTTTCAACCAAGGGTCCAGGGCCCCCTAGGGAGGGTCTGCCAGTTTCAGGGAGTCTGCCAAACAGGACTAGCATTAGACTCTCTAGGGTCTGGGGCAGAAAGTCAAAGCATCACAGCATGGGGCTGAAGCCTGGAGCCTTGCCACCTGGGGCTGAAGGAGAAGCCTGCAAAACTTAGCTTTGCGGTGCCCCCTGCTTGCTATCCCTTAACGCCAGCCCTGGCTTTTATATGCAGAAAGCCAGATGTTGTGACACAGGTGGGCCGTGGAGTTTTTATAGCATGTCAGGGGCCTCAAAGAAAAAGGAGGGGAATCCCTGATGTATAGCATGCCTTGACCTGATTCTTTACAGAGGCTTCCAGGTGCTAATAGGATACAAATAAGGGGAGATTTTCAAAGACAAGTGGGAGCTGGGTGCCTGACTGGCCTTTGTGCCTTAGAAAAAAGTCTTCCCCTTAGTAAACAGTAACAACAACAAAAAGACAACTAAGGCAAAAGTAGTCTAAAATAAAAATAGAATGAACTGGACTCTCCAAGAGAAACTAGTAACTATGGACACCAGTAAAAAAAAAGGTTTTCAAAACGAGTCACTAGGTGAATTTAATTATCAACTGAATCACAAAAAATTGAACACCCGGCCGTTCCCAGAATACAGTAAGAACAGTACAACTAAAAGAACTGATCATTCAATTCTGGCTGCAAGCTACACGAACTATACATTTATTTCTTGTATACTTTGACTTGATTAATTAAATATGCCCACACAAAGGATATCTGGTATCTTGTAAAAATTTGATTAAAATGATATGTTCTACTGCAGGCCTATTTTCATCCCAGATATTTAAGTGTACAGTCACTTGCCAAACTGTACCATGCAAGTGGGCTTAGCCACATGTATCTTAAAAGGTAAAAATTACATTAATTGCCCAACTAGCTCAACATACATACATACATAGTAATTTTAGGGATAAATAGGCTTTTCATCATTCATTCAAAATACTTTACCCATCAACACAGTAAATGAGAGAACACCTGAACACACAATTTTCCAGATTCACAGCTGCCCAAAGGATTTTTTTCTTTGACAAAAGTAATGTAAGAGAAAGTGTGTCAAGCTCTGAGTAGTGAATATACAAGACCCCCAGAGTTTCTCTCTCACGCAAATAGCTTAATTTGTCACTATCCTCCACAAAAGGAAAGTGAAGTTTCCACGTTTTCAAAGAGTCCAGTGTTTACTACTTGCCAGGTAGAGGAGCTTATTTTACTTGGCAGACTTTCTGGTGGATTCTGTTAGTATGTTAACACAAGATTAGCCAAAAATCATTAAAGATGACAGCTGAAGTGAAATGCACCAGACTGAAATGTCAGCAGGTAAATTTGTGGAAACCTGCTTGGCCAAGTTATGAGAATTTGCATTCTAGTCTAATTAAGTGTGCCCCATCCTCTGAAGAATCTAATAAAGCTATCCAAACCAGTAGTTCACCTGTGAAATTGTTAAACGGCGCAGTACCAAAACTGGAACATATCTAGTAGACCCACACTGCTGAGAAGATTAAGCACAAACCTACTTCAAAACACCAGAAAATATAGGAACAAAATTCAACCAGCCTATCTACCCTCATATTGAATCTGCACTTAGAGCAGGGTCTAGGGTTTGGATGTAAATGAACATTACAACTTCAGGCATTTTTCCTGTTTTTTGGAAAGTCTAAATTTTTTTTTCATTCAAGTTTCAGTTCTTTGCACTGTAAAAAGGGCCTTTTTCATGTAATCAATACACTGTGGTCCTATGAATCCAGTCTTCAGCCAAACAACAAAGGAGGGAAATCCACCTGAACATCTCACCACTGCTAGCCTGCACTGAGTTTGGGGTTTTCTGATTCTACATCTTTTGATTTTTTTCTTTTTATTTGTCCAATCTCATATTTCCAGTCCAAGGCTCTTAAAAAAAGCTAGCCACTATACAGGAACCTAGTTACCCAGGGGATTGCTAGCTGAATATAGAAAAGAAAGGCTGTGTGTTGTGATTTCCAATCCAGGGTTATAGCAGCCAAAGACTGTTCTCTTCGGACGGCTGTTTAGTCTCTTGTCTCAGTAGACAACTGTCCACATCATACAAAACCCTCCATACCTGGCATCAACTGATACCCAGACTTGCTCTCATAAATATAAAGGGAAGGGTAAACACCTTTAAATTCCTCCTGGCCAGAGGAAAAACCCTTTCACCTGTAAAGGGTTAAGAAGCTAGGATAACCTCGCTGGCACCTGACCAAAATGACCAATGAGGAGACAAGATACTTTCAAAAGCTGGGGAGAGGGAGAAACAAAACTCTCTCTCTCTGTGTGATGCTTTTGCCGGGGACAGAACAGGAATGGTCTTAGAACTTAGTAAGTAATCTAGCTAGATATGCGTTAGATTCTGTTTGTTTAAATGGCTGAGAAAATAAGCTGTGCAGAATGGAATGGATATTCCTGTTTTTGTGTCTTTTTGTAACTTAAGGTTTTGCCTAGAGGGATTCTCTATGTTTTGAATCTAATTACCCTGTAAGGTATTTCCCATCCTGATTTTACAGAGGTGATTCTTTTTATTTTTTCTTCTATTAAAATTCTTCTTCTAAGAACCTGATTGCTTTTTCATTGTTCTTAAGATCCAAGGGTTTGGGTCTGTGGTCACCTATGCAAATTGGTGAGGATTTTTATCAAACCTTCCCCAGGAAAGGGGGTGTAAGATTTGGCAGGATTTTTTGGGGGAAAGATGTTTCCAAATGGACTCTTTCTTCATAATAATACCGGTTAGACGTTTGGTGGTGGCAGCGAAAGTCCAACGGAAAAAGGTAAAATAGTTTGTACTTTGGGGAAGTTTTAACCTAAGCTGGTAAAAGTAAGCTTAGAAGGTTTTCATGCAGGTCCCCACATCTGTACCCTAGACTTCAGCGTGGGGAAGGAACCTTGACACTGGCCAACCCGAAGAAGTGATCCCTTTTCAGGCACACTGGTAAGATAGTCTGGAAGAAAAAAGTTCAACCACTAATTTTAACTGAGCCTTGCTTATAACAGAGTTTTGAGACGCAAGTAGACACACAAGTTGGAGATAATAGAAAACATAGTTAATTTCACATGTTAAAATATAATACAAAAACATTATACAATATCAGATCACACTAAATATTAAGACATTTATATAGCCCCATGTATACACACACACAAATACAGCTTAAATTCATGATTTGATGGGAAGCAGAGAAACAGGAACAAATAAACGTGACATTCATAAAAATTCTGTTTTTAGAGATTTTACCTTATCATACTGACATACGACAACATTCTCTGTATCAAACAGCTCTTGTCCTTCCTCATCACTCACATCATCTTCACTATTAAGGGGCTCCTAAAAGAAACATTTGAAAATAGTTTATGATAAACTGACTCCCATCTATTAAGATTATAGATATTTTGATCTTTTGCATGAAAATAAACTCTGGTTATAACATGAATGAGGGTTTCAGTGTGGGGAGAACGAGGCTTTGAGGTAAAAACTTGATGTGCCTGTCACAATTACAGGGCTAGCTTGACATCTGTCCCCCTCTTCTAGTCTCTCTAGAGTGCACCACCTCACTTGTCAGGGTGCCTATACCCATCTTTGATTGACAGTTTGCAATTCTCCCACTCCCAGACTATGCCTGGGCTACCGTATCCTACATACGAACTGTTCTTACCTAATTGGTCTGATTGAGTTTGGGCACCTGTATTTTTTCCCTTTGGAGTCAAGTGACCAGTGGTGAATATAATGAGCAGAAAGCCTTCTTAAACCAAAAGTATTGTTTATTTTACCAACTGGAACAAAGCTTTTAAGAAAGAAATAGCCTACCTGCATGTTTATCTTGCCAAAAAGCTACCCATTCCCTGATGGTAACCTAGGCAGGCCTAGCATCTCCAGATACCCCAGCAGATACCTGTGTCTCAGTCTGGCTCCCCGACAACAACCCCTCTGCTATAGTTCTTTTGTTCCTCTGTGTTTCTGGGCTTTAAGCCCTTCTGGTTAAAACCAGCCCTCTAGACTCAGCAGGAGATTATACAAGAGTCCGCAGAACCAATGTTTCTGACATGGTCCCTTAACAACTGTAGTGGTTGCTGAGGGGTGGCTTATGTTGAACCATTCTTTTTCTTCTTGCCTGTGTTAATCAGACAGATTCCTGTTCAGCTAAACCAATGCAGTCATACAGTAAATACCCCAATAACCAGTACATTATCCCGTATTCATAAATTATCCCAGGGCAGCTCCAAATGTTACTGTGCCCAAGTCCCATTTTCCAAAATGACTTTGGCATTTGCCTATACTGAGAACACTCCAGCGACGTTTCAATGGGTTTTTATAATCGTATGTAAACAGCATATGTTTTAAATCACTGGTTGATAGATCACTACGGAAAACATGAAACATCCTTTTCCTAAAAAAGTCTCATGCAGTCCCTCGCCATTGCTTTCTCATTATATGGGTTAATTATAAGAGGCACTGGGGCAAGGCAAGTTTAAATCCCCATCAACCATGATATTAGCTCTTGATTAGCTGGTATACTATTATTTTCAATCCAAGAAGGAAAACACGCTTCTTTGTACCAGAGGATGCCCTACCTCCTCCACCCTCACAGATGGTGGATGTATTAAAGTGACCTACCTGATGCACAGAACTGGAAGTAGTTCCTTATAAAGCAGGTTGATAACAGTGAAAAGAGGAGGCTAGAGCAACATGTTGCTGATAAGATCTCTGGCCTGCTGATGGTTATATTTAATAAATCTTGTAATATAAGTGAAATTCCAGAAGACTGGAACAATGCTAATATTTTGCCAATATTAAAAAAAGGCAATCAGGATAACCCAGGTAACTATACTCCAGGGAGCCTGATATGAATCCTGGGAATGGAAACACTGATACAGGAGTCAATTGATAAAGAATTAAAAGACAGGAACATAATTCATGCCAGTCAACAAGGATTTATGGAAAACAGTTCTTGTCAAACAAAGCTGATTTCATTCTTTGGTGAGATTAGGCGTATGGTTGACAGGGTAGATAAAAATAAATGATTAAAAAAAAATCTTTAAATCGGATTTTTTTTTTAATAAAAACGAAGGGAAAAATCCTGTCTAAAGATAGTTTTAATTAGGATACATTCTAAAGATATTTCATCATGGAAGAGGGATTATAAATTCTACTTCTATAGTGTGAGACAATATATTCATGTAATGTTTAAGAAAAGTTTTGTAAATGAGTTCCAATAGTTCATGGATTAGGGACCCAATCTTACGGGGTTTCACAGGCTTTTGTATAGATTACTTAGGTTAATCTTTGTATTTACCCAATGAGACTCAGTGCTCAGTCTCGAAGATACCATCAGAGATGTTTAGTTTTGCAGTTCTCAAACTGTAGATTTGCATCTCCAGAGGTAACATGATTGTTAACAGCAAAATTTTTTTAAAATAAATAAATATATAGAAGTGAGAAACAACAGACCTCAACTCTATTTTCCCTCTGCAAATTTGTGTACACGGAGTCAATTCCTTACCTCTCTTTAAAAGTGCAAAGTTTCAAAAAGTTCAATGAATAGAAGATTGTTTGGGGCAGAATAGATCTGGACAAGGAGAAAAAGTCTGGAGATAAATGTGGGAAGTGAGGGACATATGCTTCTTCTGTTAAAATATTATGTTTTCTGTTGAAGAAAAAAATCCAGACTACATAACATTGTTGTTTTAGTTAAATAAAACAATTTAAATGTCCGTCTGGTGATCTCCTCCTAATACAGCATGGCAAGAAAATGCTCCAAATATTAATGATTAACCTGTTGAATTGGAGATATTTATGAAGTCATTGGGAGGTGAACTATCTGCTTCAATTACCTTTGGTAAATGAAATAATCAAACAATCATTTTCTGATATAGCTGTAAAACTAATCTGAAAAGTTTTCAATATAAATCACTGTTTCAAAACATATAGCGTGTACCTTCTAAATATGAAACCTACATCTACCTCTGAATTGTGAAGAATATGTATTAAGGTTATAACAACCAACAGGAATGCACTTTTATGTAGAAAACCATGATTAAATTGAGTATTCCTGGCTAGTGATTTAAATCAAATCCACCCTGATGGTTGATATAGGTAACTGTAGATGTACTACAAAACTTTTGAAAGGCATTTGACTTAGCACTGTATGACATTCTGATTTAAAAGTTAACACTGTACAATATTAATAGAGCACACATTAAATGGATAAACAACCAGGCAAGTAAGAGATCTCAAAAAATAGCTGTCAATGGGAAATCATCACTGAGTGGGGGTAGTGGGGTTCAGCAGGCCCAGTGCTATTTGACATTTTCATTAGTGATTTAGAAGGAAATATAAAGTTACTGCTGTTAAACACTGCAGACAAAGACTGGCAGAGTGGTAAAGACAAAGACATTGCAGACAAAGATTGGCAGACTGGGTAATCACACAGCACAATCTGGATAATTTGGTAAGCTGAGTCCATTCAAAGAAAATGTGTTTTATGAAAGACAGGTGCAAAGTTATGCATTTAGGAATAAAGAATATAGGCTGTACCTGCAGATGAGGGACTCTATCCTGGGAAGCAATGACTCTGAAAAGAATTTAGGGGTAACAGTGGACAAGCAACTGAGCACAAGCACCCAGTACAAAGCTGTGGCAAAAAGGGCTAATGCAATCCTTGGAGGTATAAAGAGGGGAAAGGGATTTTACCTCTGTATATAACAGCAACGAGACTGATACTGGAATGCTTTTTAAAAGGATGTTGAAAAAGTGGATTGGGGCACAGAAAAGAAAAGAATGATAAAAATGATTTGAGCTCAAGAGAAAATACCTTTAAATCTCCTACCACATGAGCTCAATCGGTTTAGTTTATCAAAAAGAAGAGTGAAAGGTGTCTTGATTACAGAGCCTAAGTACCTTCATAGAGAGAAAATAAAGGTATTGAAGAGCTCTTATCTAGCAGACAAAGGCATAAAAAGAACTAACAACTGAACGTTAAAGCCAAACAAAATTCAAATTAGAAGTTATGCAAAACTTTTTAATAGCAATGGTGATTAACCAGTGGAACAAGAGAAATGACTGAATCTCCATCTTTTGGCCTCTTCATATTAAGACTGGATGCCACTTGCGACTTGATTCTGGGCCCTACTATTTCTTTTATAATCTCTTCTTTGCTGAAGAGGTTTATGAAACCGTTTGCAATAGTTTAATTTAAATACATAGAAGTGCTACTTTGGTGCAGCTGCACTGCTGAGGCACATCTGTGAAGACGCTCTATGCCGACAGGAGAGAACTCTCCCATCTGCATAATTATTCCACCTCCGTGAGAGGCAACATAACTTCAGTATAGACTGCACTTAGGTTGCTGTAACTTGCGTCCCTCGGTGTGTGTGTGTGGCTTTTTCACACCCCCAAGTGACGTAAGTTATATCAACATAAGCGGTAGCGTATACCTGCCCAAGATCACAGACACCCCCGCAAAAATCTATCAAATGAAAATGGAAGTTCAACATTAAAGTCTCAATATTTTCTAATCTTTTAGAAACATTTTATCAAATTTTACCTCTTCAACCTGGCCATCTTCACCTCCATCTTTTTCTTTGTCTTCCTCTTCATCATCATCATAATCTTCTTCCTCATCTTCTTCTTCTTCAGATGATGTGTCTCCAGCTCCATCAACTTGGAGTACAAGTGGTGCTTGTGGTTGTGCCTGTTGCTGTGGTTGCTGCTGACTGGCAGCAGTAATCTGTGCTTGTGCCGGTGTAGGAGCTGCCACTGTTGTGGGTATGACCTGTGTTTTGTTCCCTGTAAATAGGATTTGCTGCGGCTGAATAATCACTCCTGTCTGCTGGGAGATCCCTCCAGGGATAGGAGCCAAAACCTGAAAAAAGGATTTTATATTAGCAATCGTGCATACACAATACTAACAGAGCAATTACTTACCAAAAACATTTGAAACCTGTCACTTCTTTATACTACTTCAAGGAACACAGTCACAAACATAGTTATCAAACACAGAAAAGTAAACAAAGATTTTTATAATTTCACTTTTAATATTGTGATAACTTTAAAAAAAAAATTGGTAACACTGGATGCAGATCAGGTAGGAAGATCCTGCACAGAAGCCAAAGATATGGAATTTCTAAGGCATCAAATAAGTTTTTAAAATCCCCATTTCTTTATGCAACTGTCAATTTTTCAGAGCCATTACTGGCATGCAATTCAAACAAAAGAACACATACCCTTGTACTTAAATATGCAAACTACTGGAAAACCTTCCTACCAGGTGAGTTTTAAGTATGAGCCCACTTATTCAAAATGTCCCTCTTTACCTGCTGTATAACAGGAGCTTGTACACCACCAGGCTGCATCTGTGGTATAACCTGTTGCTGTAGAACCACTGGCTGCTGTTGCTGAATGATATACTGAGCTCCATTTGCAGTTCTAACTACCTGCAGGATCTGGCCTGCAATGAAAACAGAACCACTTAAAACGTAAAAATCCACACCTAAAATTATCATCTCTTTCAAAGTTGGTCACCTGGAAAAAGACTGAGCATAATTAAGGTAGAAACTTCATCTTACACTTCCACCAATAACAGGTTGAGAATTTTTATTATTTTTAATACTTTAAACATGGCACACATCTACAGCTTCAAAACAACAAGTCTTTAAAACCCAACCATATGTTTACAAGGGGCATAATGCAAGAGCAGTTTAGAAAAGAGACAACAGGCAGGTTGCTAACAGGTGATACAAGGTCTCACATGAGGCCAAAGATTAACTCACTATAAAGCAGCACAGCAATCTTCTGAATATTCATTCCCTACATATGAAGAGTGTATTTCATGTTTTTGCAAGGTCCCGGTTTAAAAGGACAGAAGCCAATAATATAGATATACACAAAGAAACTACACTTTCTATCCTATTGTGTAGGCTTCGATCCGCTGTTAAACAGACTCTGTATTCCAGCATTGAGCACATTTCAGTGTTGGGAAACTATGTTTTTCTTTTTAACAAAACATGTGAAAAGTCCAAGCATTTTTTCCACTGAGTCTACTAATTTCACTGACTGCACTAAAGAATAGCTCATTCTTTAATTTCTGTCCTCTGACAAGGCCAAGATGAGGCCAGTAGAAGAACAACTCCTTCTACAGGATTTTAGAAATTTGATAAAATCCATTCCACTTTTTTTGGGGGGTGGTGGTGGTGAGGGAATAATATTTTTACCTTAAAAGATGATCAGTCGCACTGTGTAGAATACTGTTTTTTGCATATATGGCAAACAATACTGTAAAATATAGTTGTCTCTCTTGCTATTCTACAGTTTCCCAGTTTCACCACCTTTACTATGCTTGACAGAAAAACAGATACACGGGAGATAAAATTTGCTGAACCGTTACTGGGACAAACAAAAGGTATAAGAAGGCAGTTATGAGTGGCTTTTTATACTAGGACCTTGTATCACCTTTACTCCAAAAGAAAACAATTTCAAAGATTCTTCTCCTCTGCATCTCCCCCACAAAAGCACCATGACTGTGAGCACTAAAAGCTGTTTCGGACAGAAAACACATTTTCACAATTTAGATTGGTCTTTTTACATCATAAAACTACTGGATTTGTTTTCGAACAAAAAAAACAATTTTCCCAGCCATTTTTTACTTCCTGGTTGCTTTCGAGTTGTCCCTTGCAGACCTCATCAGGGCTGTTAGACAGCGTTGTGATGTGAATATTCTAAGCTTACATTCTTAAATTTACTCCTAACATTTGGAGTAAGGAGACAGCTTTAGACAAGGGCACTAATGGGTAAAGAAGAGCTTGAGCCCTTGGTCCTTGACTGTTTTGGAATGGGCTGCTAGGAATGGGGTTTCATGTGCCAGGAGTCAGAGGGGCAAATGCTCAGAGGGGGAGCAATTCAAACTCGGTATATACTTAAACTCTATATTTGGCTTTTATTATAGTTACCCGCTCACATTTTTAAAGGTGACTGAGGAAAATTCAAACTAACTGTGTCTGCCCTTCGAATAAATCCACAGCACAGGGGATTTATAGATAGGATCAATACTGCAATCTAAGTACAGGCAACCAGACTATCATGATGCCAAAACCGATGAACTTTGCAAGTGGAGAACAAACTCTGAAGCAAAAAATATTTAAACTGTTTTTCAGAAATATCCTTATGCTCCGTAGATAAAAGCCTAGCAAGGACAGATTAGTACTCAGAAAAGAGGGCTAAGTTCCAGAGGCAAGAAAGATCCACTAACTTCATTTATTTTTCTTTATAAAATGCCAGCATCAACTACTTTAAGTAACAGTTTATTATGTCTGTTCACTTTCATCTTCCTTTTCCCTGTCTCTAATGCCACTTTCAGTTACTTAGGTTCTTGCATGTCCCTGATCTCCATAATATCTAAACTACTTTTCTTTCCATGTATTATGTCTTTTTTTCTTTTCAGTCTGACTGTTGTGTAATTCTCTTTCTCCATCCCTCCTTTCCGTGATACAGTTTCTCTTTATCCCCATCTCTATAGTCTCTCTTTCATTACCCATGGCACAGTCCTACCACCTTATCCCTAATTCACAGAGCACACGCAATAGTTCCATGTTTCATCTCATTACAGCAGAGAAGCGTGTAAAGATGGTCACCAGCTCTGTGCAACAGATATAAAGTTGCAGACAAGACATACCCCAGCTTCAACTCTTCCACTTTCTTATCAGAAAGACAAAGGAGGAACTGAAGTGATATCCAGATGACCCTCACCTCCATCATCTCCTGCTAAGAATAGGTTTAGCTCCCTGACTCCATCTAAAGCATAAACTCAGTGGTCAGGATCTACACCTGCAAAGAACCCAACCTTGGGAACACAATCTCCGTAGGAATACGTGCCCTTTCTCCTTCCACATCCATTTGAGAAAACACTATAGGTACGACTGTGTGTCTCTCACTGAGGCCACGGACTCCGGTGCTGGCTATGGGGCTGCCTGAACAGTTTGGGTGTGTGGGAATGAGCTAGGGGCAAGGGTGCGGGGCGGCACTTACCTCGCAGGGGGGGACTCCCTAGCTCCCACCACCTGTAGCTCCGAGGCGGAGGGGCCAGGGGACTCCATGCGCTGTCCACCTCTGCAGGTCCCACCCCCGCAGCTCCCATTGGCTGTGGAGCTGGCGCTTGTGGTGGAAACAGTGAACGGAGAGCCGCTGGCTGCCCTTCCCCCTAGGAGCTGCAGGGACATGCAGAGCTGGGTAGGGAGCCCGACAGCCCTGCCAACCCTCCCCCCAAGCACCAGCGGGGGTCCTGGGCCATGCACCGCTGCTCGCCCCCTCCCAGCACCAGTGGGGTCTCAGGCCACCCGCTGAAGCACCCACAGTGCTTCCAGACTGTGCCCCCCCCTCCCCCCCCAAGTTTTAGTTAGGGGTATATAGTAAAAGTCATGGACAGGTCATGGCCAATGAATTTTTGTTTACTGTCCGTGACCTGTCCACGACTTTTAATAAAAATACCTGTGACTAAAACGTAGTCTTAACTATAGGGCAGCACTTCATAGGTGGAGAAAGATTGCTGGCAACGACATAAATAATTTGTGATTGATCCTATGGTATACACTTGTTTTCCTGTAAAAACAAGAGAGGAATTTTTTCCTTGTATTAAGATCTGAAAGTTTCACCTCTGCTCTGAATCAGATTTCTACACCGTTATAAACCTCAACCTTCCTATTTCAGGCAAACTTCCATTAAACATAGCAGTCTTTAAAGCCGTCTCTTAATATAATGTATATATTTTCAAATAGTAAACAGCTGAAGAACAATACCTTTCAAAATGTATTAAATAAAATCTTTTAAAGTTTTATGGTGGTAAAGTAGCACTGTAATACATACAGCTCAAGAACTGTATGGTAAATTCCCTTTACTACAAAACTCCTTCCTGATTTTTAAATGTTTCACATGAAATGTAAAAAATTACAATCATTTGCAAATCAAATAGCTTGTCTATAATCCATTTAATGTTAAGGTAATTACCTGAATTTGTAAGTATCTGCTGAACAGGAGTAACACCAGCAGGCAAAGCCAAGGTAGCTGCAGTGGCAGCCGCACTCTGAAAGACAAGAAACCTGTTAACAGCCAGCATTACTGCCAATGCTTTGCATCATGGCACACTAGCTGAGGATTAAAGAATAAGCATCTGTTGAGGTGAAGTAGGACAAATGTACACAATCACCATAGCTTCTATGGTGAATCAACATTTACTCATAAGCAAGTTTCCGTGATGTTAAAAGGAAGATGACTAATAGTATAACGTGCATATATTAGCTATCATAGAAGTGAAATCTTTCTGATTTCTATTTGCCTGCTTTGATGGGCTCCCTTCATTCTATGTGCATCACAAGTCAACTCGATTCTGCTTTATTTCCAGGTTTGCCAGAAAAGCTCTGGGAATAAGTTTTGCTCATCTGTGCTCCCTCTGCTGGCCAGCTGTTGGGTAACGGAGCATAACACTAATAAAAAGACCCTGGTAGCTTCGCTCCTTTTTTTTTTTTTTTAAACCAAAAATCTGATCATTCTCTAAATTATTTAAAAAAGCAAATGAGGGAGATTTTTAAAGTCAAAATTGGAGTTTGGCAACTACTGTTTGTGCCTTGATCTTTCTCTTAGAAAATAAGGCTTAAGTAGACAGTGTATATGATTCTTCTAATAAGTGATTTTATTTTAGTCTTCGAAAAACAAGATGTGAAACAGTATTTAAAAAATTAGGACTCTACTCCCAGCTCTCCGAGTTAAAGTTAACCAGCCTCTCTGAATATGTTATCTGACTAATAGAAAAGAAAAAAACTCAAGGCTTAAAGTGAATTGTTCAAATCCTGGAATAATGCCAATATCAAGGGTAAAAGAAAGTAAGTTCCTATGAGTTACATCTGAGACGGGGTGGCCAACCTGTGGTTCTGGAGCCACATGCGGTTCCTTGTATAGGCACTGACTCTGGGGCTGGAGCGAAAGGCACAAACTTTCCAATGTGCTGGGGGGTGCTCACTGCTCAACCCCTGGCTCTGCCACAGGCCCTGCCCCCATTCCACCCCTTCCTGACCTCTCCCTTGAGTCTGCCTTGCCCTCATTCCGCCCTCCCACCCCTGCGTGCCAGGAAACAGCTGATCAGTGGGGCTGCCAGCTAGTGGGAAGTGCTGGGAGCAGGGGGGTATGGGGGGAAGGAGGTGATGGGGGGCTACTAACGTATTACTGTGGCTCTTTGGCAATGTACATTGGTAAATTCCAGCTCTTTCTCAGGCTCAGGTTGGCCACCCCGATCTGAGACAAAATATCTGATCAAAGAAGTTTAATCACCTGATAATTGACACCATACTCAATGAATATAGTGAAATGATTTCTGTTTTCTAGGCAAAATCATTTCGTAGAATAGCTCATGTGTGATCTTTTCCTGGATCATCTATGATAAGTTTAAGCTAAAAACAGTGGCACCAGAACTTGGGGCGGGAGAGGGGCACGGAAAGGCCCTCCCACTTTTCACTGGGGCGGATCACGCCCCCTTACCCTCTTCTTCCCCCCAAGGCCCTACCCCACCCACCAGGCCAGCATGGAGCCCTGCCAGGGAGCCTGGGCAGCTGTGGCGAACTCTCCACCTGCCCGGAGTGCGGGGCGGCTGAGAGCAGTCCCCAGCCTGTGTTCTCACTCCCTGCCCAGCCAAGCACAGGTGGAGGTGGAGGATCCACAACTCCGCGCCGACTCCCCACGCGACTCTCCCTGACCTGGCTCCGACCAGGGGGAGCATCAAAGCCGCAGCCCAGCCAGACACAGTAAGAGCCATGCGGGCTACTGTGAGGAGCCGCAGCGCAGGCCCAGGGCAAGTGGAGGGTCTGCCGCGGCTTCCCACAGCTGCCTGCCCAGCTCTTATCATGGCTGTGCTGCGGCTCCAAGGGCCTCCCCCCACCAGCCAAAGCTGGGTTGGGCAGAGCTGCGTGGGCAGCTGTGTGGAGCCTGGGTCCTTCCACCTGCCCTGGGGGGGTAGCCCTCGGGGTGGAGGCACGGGCAGGGGCTACTTCCCCCTCACCTCCTGGATGGGGTGAGGAGGGCTCACTGGCCCTGCTCTGGCTTGGTCAGGGGGGACTCAGTCTCCCGACCCCCCCATTTTTGGGAGGGCTCCGGCACCCTTGGCTAAAATATTGTCAAGTAAAATGTACAGAATCACGGAACTTTGATTTTTTTTTTTTTAAATAAACCAAAAGAGTATGGATATTTGCTCAGGTAAGAAACATTCCACAAAAATAACAGCAACAGAGAAGTATTGGGATAAAGTTTTAGTAGTACAACCTTTTCTTGATGCCAAGAGAATTCTTGCAATGGATTGCAATGAAATGCATTCTAGCACTGAAATGTAAGTTCTGCAGTGACTCTGGATTTGAAGTTATTTTTATTGCATCTAAAAGACAACCTGATTTGTAGAAAACTAGGGACAAATTTGTTGTTATTCTTTAAGACTATCTAAAACCAGAATTATTCCTCAACACAACAGGCCATGGCAGCTAGAGAGAAGCTTTATTTTAGGAGGCTGAATGACTACACTGACGTAGAGTTAGCTAGCCTTGGGATACAGCCAAGAAGCAGGTCTATGGCTAAAGGCATCAGCCCTGAGGAAGCTGACTCCGATGATTGTCTGCATAAAGAATTAAGGCCTGAGAGTCTGCATCAATACCTTGCATTCACTATTTTTAACAACTTAAACAAGCAACACAGGTGTGTGTTACACTGGATTTGATTTTACTATGAAGCAACACAGTAATATAAACACTAAACAAAACACACACAGTTGTTATAACAAATTCATGACAGATCCTCTTGACCATGTAAACAAAAAGGATCAAATAGACATTAAGAACATTTGGGGATTATTTCAAAGTTTAAACTAAGTGACCAAAATGTATTCTGGGCCAAACGTGAAGATGTTTGTGTAAGTCATAGAGAAAGGATGCACAGCTTAAAGTCTGCAAATTAACACGAATCCACTTGGGTTTGAACTGTAAATTGATCTCAAATGAACCTTTGGATTTTAGTCCATATGATCCCAGTGTCTCATCTTAGTACAAAAAATAAAAATGTAATGACGACATCAGAACTAATTTTACCCATGCTGACTGTCAAAAACAGTTCCAACTAGCAGTCAAATGTTTCTCCAAATCAAACTTTGGGCAGTCTGACAATTCTACCAAGCCCTACTATAGGTTTAAGTTTAAGCAGAATGTTAACAGTAATACCTGAAATGCTGGAGGATACTATTGCATTTTTCATATTGATGAAAAATTAAAGTGCAAAATGGATTTAAATTTTACTATTGGGTAAAATGCACATTTCTTGTTTTATGTAGTGTAGTTATAGCCGTGTCAGTCCCAGGATTGTAGACACAAGAAGTTGGTCCAATAAAAGATATTACCTCACCAACCTTGTGTCTCTGTTTCTGGTTTGTAAGAAATCAGATCTCCCTTTGCTGGCAGACTGATGTAATCGCCAATCAGAACCTCCTGGAGGGTGACACTGAGTAGAAGCAGACTAGCGCTTTTCTGCTGTCCCTTTGCCGCACATCTTCTTACAGATAGGGGAAAGGACACTACTAAAGCATGTTTTAATTTTTTCTTGCCTTTAAAATAAACAAGCTGTGTCTGCGTGATCCATTCTTAGTACAGATTTAAGAGTTTTCTTTAGTCAAACATTTCTTTTACAAAGCCCTAATTGGACAGATTCCTTAAAGTAGTTTTTTGTTTTGTTTTTTTTAAAAAGCTTCAGGCTGTACTCTGGGAACAGCACATGTTTAAATAGCTACACATACTTTCTTTTTACTGTATAGCATTGGGCTCTATTGAATGAGAACTAGAGAAGAAACTCAGCAGGGTAAGCAGGCAAAATCCGGTTTCTGCTGCTATTCAGTGGAATTTACAAGGAAAGTGAGGCAGAAGTCAGTTTTAGTTTTCATTCAGCCTTTGGTTGCATCATGTTTAGTCAGTGCATCTAGGATTTTGAAGAGAAGATCAGCAAACTATCTGACAGACAATGAGCAAATGAACTGCTGCTGCCTTAATTGTTCAACTTTATTTATTGTGCTTTTAAATTTACATCAAACTCTGGAAGGATATTCTTTAGCATGGAGTTCTAAATCTAAATAAATAACTAAATTTAACTTGCACAGATTGTGTTTTGGATGTCTTGAGCTGCAGGACAATAGGTTTTTCCCATAGCCTAAACTTGATGTCAAGCAAGAGAGACAAAGTTAGACTACAAAGACAAAACTGTAAGGAATGGATGAATGGTTAGGATAAAAAGTTGTGAATTTACTTCTGCAATAACAAATGAATTGAAATAAATAACCAGAAAGGCAGATTCAAATCCCTGTACAGTCAGTATCATTTTTATGAGTTTATTATTTATAATATTTGAGGAATGTCATTCTTCATCTGGTAAATATAACATAAGGCTTGCACCAGGGTAACAGTATTTTCCACATGTGAAGTCATCCCTTCCTGGGATTGCTGTCATACAGATTTGTATCAGTATTAGCTGACCCTCAAAAAAAACTTAGACTAATCCAGCAATATTCAGACTGAGGCTTGCAAACCGCAAGTGGCTCTTTAATGTGTCTCCTGTGGCTCTTTGCAGCACATGATATTAAAAAACTGTATAATTTAATTATTAACCAATCAGGATGCTTTTACTACATTATTAACCAATTGCAGTTGATAAAATAATAATACTTGGTCAGTCATTTTACTGCGAGAATAATTTTTGTATACATACACACCTCTACCCCAATATAACGTGGTCCTCGGGAGACAAAAAATCTCACCGCATTATAGGTGAGACCACGTTATATCAAACTTGCTTTGGCCCCCACCGTTCCTTGCTCCCTGACCACCTCCTCCAGAGACCCCAGGCCCTAATCACCCCCAGGACCCCACCCCCTGCTCCCTATCCCCCGACTGCTCCGACCCCTATCAACACACCCTGCCCCCTGACAGGCACTCACCGGCAGTGGCAGGAAGCGGAGCAACGCGGCCCCAGCCCGTTCCACTCCGCCACCTCCCAGCTGCAGCACTCCGCTTCCCGCTGCTGGTGAGTGCAGGGAGGTTGGGGAAAGGATGCCCCCTGTACTCACCTGCAGCAAGAAGCAGAACGCCACAGCTGGGAGCTGGGGGAGTGGAAGGGCTGGGGCCAGGCTGCTCCGCTTCCGCCACTGCCAGTGAGTGCGGGGGGGATCCCTTCCCCCAAGCCCCCTCCACCAAGCGACACGGCTGGGGCTGGAGAGAGGGAAGCGAAGTGGGCTGCTCCTGGGCCCCTGCTAATCCCCTGGGCCACTCTGGGACTGCGGGACCCCGAAAATGCCCCCCCACACACACTTTTGCCTCCCAGACTTGGGGGGGGGGGGGGAAGGAGCCCCTGACTACCCCCAAGACCCTCTGCCCCTTATCAACCCCTCGGCCCCGGCCCGGCACCCTTAACGGAGCTTTACCGCATTGTATGCGAACCTGTGTTATATCGGGTTGCGTTCTATTGGGGTAGAGGTGTGTGTGTGTGTATATATATATATATACACACACACACACACAGATACATATATATATATACACACACACACACTCTAAATATTTCCCGTCAGACTGTTTAAATATGTATAGCACTATAGTAAATGAAACAATGAATTCATGCTACTATGGTTCTTTTGGGTAATGTTGATTGCTAACTTGGCTCCTGAACCACTGAGGTCTGAATATCACTGGTCTAACTTATATTTACCTAGAGGATCAAGCTAGACCCTAGGTCTGTTGACAGAAGCAAGCCCTGGATAAACAGCTCACGTGTTGTCAGCCTAGCAATCAGTGAGGCAGGAGCCATCTTCTGCCAGTAACTCTTGGTTTGTTTTTTTGGCATTTGATATGACTCATATCAGACTTTTATCTTCACTATTTAAATAAATTACAGCATTGCATAAAGTTGTAATTCTGAGTCTTACCATGCCTGACGCGTTCATGTGCTGTATCAACTTTGAATCTGGCACAATAACCTGCTGCTGAGGTGCTACAAACAAAAGAAACAAAACGTCAATTCTATATGATCTGGACAAAATAAATTACAGGAAGCAGGTAAAGGACTAGTGATTCAAAGCATGTGGTTGTACCAGCTGTTCTTTACTCTGAAATGTCTGCAGTCCACAGATATGCGTGTTTCTACTGCAGTGATGACCTTCATTAGAATCCCTGGAAGGTGATATGGCAATCCTAACTGGATCCATAGTGATTTGACCTCAACAGTTTCCTTTAGCTTCCCTGCTCTTTCTGACACTGCTTCTTAAATCAAACCTTGTTTAGATATTTAAATAAAAGGGTATGACCCTGCAAATTTCAAGGAACATGAGGATAGGCCCACTATCCCAACATCCTCTAAACAGAATAAGTTGGCATTAATCTGTGATGACCTAGAATCTGAAAATGAGTTTCGAACCACAGAAAAAACAGGCAACAGCAAGGACTAAAGTGATGGTGACACATGATATTAAAGTGACAAGGCAACAAGTACATCATGAAGTGTAAGTTCTCATCCAACCTTGTTTTGTCCCCAGGACTACTCTGTAAGTCAACCATATTTAGAATCACAGCATTTGTTAAGACTATACAAAGCAGAGTCTTCTGTTAATGAACTAAAGATACAGGGATGCAGATATAAAAAGATGCATGGATTTCGAATCTTAAGTTGTAAGTTCTTTGGGGGCAGGGACCATTTTTTTCTTCTCCATTTGTACAGCATTTATAACAATAGGGTCCTGGTCCATGACTGGGGCTCCTAAAAATTGTCAAAATACAAATAATAATTCTAGTGTGTGTCATGACTATAAGATAACACATTGTCAATTCCCTCATCAACTCATGCAGACATGGTATTAGGTTGGGTTTTTGTTTATGCAACAGGGACTCTATAAAATCAGAAAATGTTTGCTCCCTCTATTTAATGCTTAATCAAGAGTGTTTAGAAATGCTTCCTTGGAATTCTTAAAGTAAAGTCTACAATGTGATAACTGCATTTAAAAAAGATTATTTGTATGGGTAAGTTTGACAATGCATCTTGAACCCATTCACTTACATACTGCGTGACCAGCTGGGGCCACAAGCAAGCCATCACTTTTTTTTTTTTTTTTGGCTCAGAACTAATTCCAATATGAAAAACATGTCTGTTTAACAGATTATGTGTAGTAAAATAATATTTGCATCCTCATCCCAGTCATTTTAAAAGAGACTAGAGGTTTAGTATAATTTTTAAAATCCTGTTTCATCCTACTTAATGAAACTCTCTCTTAATTGAACACGTACACTGATTTGTTATTGTAGGGCTACTAATGACTAGCAGACTGACATTTTCATTATAGAGAAAAAAAGACATTTGTTTTGGAAAAATAAGTTATGTGGGACTAGACAAATAATATATAAAAGAGAAGTTAATAGACCCATAGTTTGATCTACCAACCAGGACACCTTAAATTTGAAAGACTCAAATTCTCCTGAATTTACTTTTTTAACCGAAAACTGCTGAAACCATAGAGAGTTTCATGTAGGCACGTTAGAGAATCAGTCTAACCTTGCTGGGATGCAGGAATAAGGACTTGTTGTGTCTGGGATTGCTGCTGCACAGTCTGCTGTGGTTGTGAATGATGATGATGGTGGTGGTGGTGATGCTGCTGCTGCTGCTGTTGCTGCTGCTGAACCTGCAACAAAAGTTGCTGTTCTTCTGAATGAAACCCATCTACAGCCTTGGACTGCATCAGCTTGTTCTCCCACAGCTGCGTTTGAGAGAAAGAAAAGGTGGTATCTCCAGGTGTCATTTTAATGTTGTAGGATTGGAATTATTACAAATAATGCAATTCAACTTGGTCCTTATTTATCCTGTACATTCTACTTTGTCACAAAATCTTTGGGCATATGTAGGTTGGGTATATGACCCTCTCCTAAGGCGCCACACAGCAACAGAAGAAAAAAATACTCCAAGGGAATTCGAAATTTAACTTTCATGGACATTCCTTTCTTCTCCCACAGGTAAAAGATCATCCTTATAACTCCACATATCGGAAGCAGGGAGGCAGAGATAAAATGGTAGCTCCTATCCTTCAGTTCCCACCCCCTCTACCTCCATTTTAGTTTCCTCTCACCAGAAGCATGTAGTCTTCACCACAGCTCTCTCAACATTTTTCTTTCTAGAATTTCTACAGATAAAAAGAGTCTCAAGGAAGATTCATTATCTTCACCAGAAGCTCCCATTAGTGCAGAGGATTGTGGTTTTATATAGCAATTTAATTATTTATATCCCCATAGTATCTAAAAGCTTTGTCTCTCAGGCCTCTTGTTCTACCATCCCCTGCTTTTCACTGTTTCCTCCATTTTTACTGTCCTTTTCTCTGTTTTGATGTCTCAGGACTTGTCTTGTTCAGGAAAGTATTTGAGAAGGCATCAAGAAAAGCATCAGACAAAATATCCTTTATTCTGGTAGCAAACCCATGTCACAATTTTGGTTCACGGGACACAGTTTGCATTCTGGTGAAGTGATGGTCCCTCAGAACTCTCCTCCTCAGATGTGTACAATGCAATTTATCACATGCCATGTCAGAAAATGGGATATTTTTGCAAAGCAAAAGTCATTAGATTTGGAAAAGTGGAGCACTCTACAATGAAACTCTTCAGCTTACAAAGAGGAGAGAGAAAAGAAAAGCATCCCCTATTCAGGATGAATTAAAAAAAGATAGTTACAAATATTTGGATTTTTGTATTTAAATTCATTACAGATTTATTTTTAAATAAACCTATTTAATATTAAATTTGAAGTTAGGACCACTTATTAGGCTTAAACTTATTATAATTTATTAAAATAATTTAAATTAAATTAAAAAATTCAAGCATTACGTTTCTTGCCAAGCTTTTTAGAAAAGTCAAATCCCAGAACTTGTGGAAGTCACTGGCTAAGCAACTGGAACCAGAGTATGTTATGTGTTAAACCAACTTTTCACAATGATATTCTCTCTGCACCTGCAGAAAAGGCTATCTTCTTCATTTCCGTTTATTTGACTAGTTCTGTTCAATGACTAGTTCATTCAAAGTTAACAAAATGGGAATTAAAAAAGCAGGAAAGCCTGTGTTCCTCTGCCAATCTATGAATAAAAATTCAATATGAGTGGATGAGATCAACTAGCTCTAAACTCTTGAAAGACATGGTAACCAGAAGCAATTAATTAAAATCACTAACTACAGATAATATTTCCTTTGTTTAATAAAGCAGTTATTTTTAAATGCAAAGTGTTTTAATAAACTTTTTTTCTTATGTATTCAACACATTTAAGGTAGTTTTATTTAACCAATAAACAACATGTTAAAATGCTGGGTTTATGCATTTTTAATTTAATTTGAATTTTCATCCAAATATAGCTTGACATAAATCACAAATAAAAATTAATCGTCTAGTATTTTACAAATGCATCATTCACACATTTTCTAACATAATAAAATATGAAAAAACTAAGAATCTGAATAAATGTAAGATTAGCTATATATAACTGTGTAAATACATGTGCATAGATACAGTGTATTCTCCTGGTTAGCAAAAAGAAGCACCAAATTTAGCTTAAAGAATTTAGTTGCAAATCAACATGCTTTAATGGTTACCAACCATTAAGAATCAACTTTTCTTTAGGAAAAGAACCAAAAAGATTAAATGCAAAGCAAGATTAAAATTTATTATTTAACTCATTCCCATTTGCGGATTTAAATCATGATTAAAATCTGCAATTTCAATAATTCAGATTTAAATCAATTCACCTGATCCCTAACTGAACCATCATGGAAAACTTTACCTCTTGGCTAGAGGACAACACACACATGACCTTACCTTTTTAAACAACTTAGATACTTAAAATACCCACAAAGCCCACACTGAAACATGATCCCTATTGTAAACTTGATATATAAGTTGACGTGCAACGAATACAGCAAAGTGCATAATGTGGGAAGGTGGAGAAAAGAGCAAATCTGCTGTACATATAAGATGTACGGAGGAAGATTATACCATGCATAGCAGCATCTCAACTCCTATATCAAGGGGATGAGTGCTTTGCTTAGACAATGAAAATTCACTAATTTTTTACTATATGGAGCAGTAAGCACTACGTCATAGGCTGGTTAGTATGTTATGGAGCTGTAAATACTCTGAGTCCAACTACAACTTACTGTTTTGAGTTCCAGAAGGACTTGTTCATCTACTCCTTCATCCAAAAAAACTTCTCGGACATCATTGATGACATCTTCGATTACGGACCTGTACAGTTTAGGCTTTAAAAAGTTATTAGTAAGGGTTGCTTGTACCGTAAGAGACTTAATAGTCTAGTATTAACGCAACTAAACAGATTTTTTTAAAAAACTCCTCTGAAGGAATGCTTTCAAAAGGCCAGATACCGTAACAACCCTTGAAGCCAGTCTTACTAGAAAAGCCAAAGATGGACAGAGCAAAGAGATGAACTACTGTCTCTTATCCTCAAAGGTGTTACTGCCAATTCAAGGCTGAACCACACTGCCAAGTCAATGGGACGAAGTCTACACTACCACTAAGTGCATTGGCCTCTTTTCATTTACAGAATGAGTACATCAGGCTCCAAACCGGCACCTTTATGAGTGCTAACGTCTCCTAATTTTTTAAAGATATATTTATGGTTTAGACACTTATTTGCAATATCTGCTCAGCACAGTACTGTAAACAGGTTATATTAGCTACTTGAGAGGATCCCCATCAAGATATCCAACACTACTACATAGTTTTGATTAATAACGGTCAGCTAGGATTTCTTTTAAGTGATCAATGTTCAATCACACGCACAAAAGCCTCCTTGTGCAAGCTGAAGGCTAGAAGACGATATAGTATGTACAAAAGAACTTCTACTGCATTTACTGTTCTTTAAAAACCAAAGGGGAAAAGTGTTTTGAAAAACAGACTCCAATACTTTTAATTCATAACAAAGATCAAATACAAAGAAAAATTTAAAAAGATATACTATGTTTGGTCACTTAATATATGCAGGGAAAAAACTAGGAAAAGCTGTACTGAAGTTTTACAGCATGTTTCTTTACAACAAATGCATAATTCACCTATGGAGATCTAGTTTCAGATTATATTCAGTCTCAAGTGACATAAGTGATCTAGTAAATCCCTCCCTGTCCATATCACAAAACTTCCACATAAACAGTTTTTGCTTTGCTGATGTCTAGTAATGGAGACAGGAATGGTGCAAGTCAAAATTAAGTGGATATGGGAGAAGTTGCAGAGAAAGATTCTTCACCTAATTTCTTAAGATGCTGCACCAGTGTCATTCTATCAACACCTAATTCTATCTTCAATTTCAAAGATATTTTTGCCATCTATTTATCATTTTTCAATATTAAAATATATTGCTATAAACCAAGCAGCGGAGAAATGACAATCCACCATTCTGTTACTCCTATCTCTGTTTTGATCTGAAATACTGGGATAAGCTTGTCTTGTATTGCCCTGGGAGACCCAGTTTATAGCAAATGAGTTTAAAGCTCAGTATTCCATCTCTGATACATGCGATATGTACCAAAGCATCTTCTAAAGTCATCTTCTCAACTTTTTTTTTTTAAAGGTTGAAGAGCCTTGTGTACTTATAGTTTGCTGAAGGCTAACATATTAGTTAAATGTATTTATGCACATGAATGTTTGAAACAGACCTTGAAAATTTAGGTAACTGTACAGCATTAGTACTTTAGTTCTAAGCAGTGTGCAATTTAAAACAAGTAAAAATGTCAAGCACTGTTAATGGGATCTTGTGTTTACTTTGAGACTTAGTTCATAACAGATGGAAAGCAAAACATCCCATTTAATAATAAAAAATTAGAGATACATTTTCTGCAATAAGCTAACTGGACTCACCTTATGACAATCTCAGCTGTGCAGATGTGCTACTTGATCAATTCTGCACATCATTACTAAGTATATTAGAGGTGTCACTTTTTGGAAGATGACATTGGCACACTCCAGCAAACAGTTATGCACATATATAACTTTAAGCACATGAATAATCTCACTTAAGTCAATGGGACTAACGACACACTTGAAGTTAAAACATACGTAACTAGTTGCAGAACTGGGGCATAAATATCTTGTTCAGAGTGGACAAAATGAATAGCTGATCCTATCAACAGAGTACTTTAAATGATTAGCTTTGGTGATGACAAGAAGAAAGCCCTAAACAGCATTTTCTCCTTCTCCCGCAGCTTAGTCTCCTAACAAGTCTGAAGAAGTTTTATAAATATAACCTTTGTAATGTTATGTGTTAAAACATCAATGCTCAGATATAGCCAGCAACTTCACAGCCCAATCCCTACTTGGGAATGTTTTAATATGTATTTTCTTCCTTTACCATAAATAATAGTTTTTGAAGAGTTATCTTAGGTTTTCCCCTGTATATTTTGTCATGCCCTTGACACATGAATTTTTCAACATTGCACTAACAATTCAAAAAACTGCTCTGGACTCATCGGGGTGTCCCCACTATATATACCCATAAGTACTGGAACTAGGTGTGCTGGTGGTGCCGCCGCACCCCCGCCCTGAAGTAGTAAAAACAACTCAAATATATGGGTTCTGCCTTCAGCACCCCCACAATAAAAATTGTGCCAGTACCACTGCATATATCCTGTTAACTGTCCAGCTCAGAAGAATGTAATTCCCTCTAGAGCAGCAGTAACTGTTTTAAGAGCTGTCCATACTGGGGCATTCAGGAACACCACAAAGCGTTCCCTTCAATACTTTAAACCTAAAGACCAGGATATCCACAACAGCCTCAACTTCTGACCTGTACAGAGAAGCATAGAATATGAACTTAATTTCAAATCAGCATTGTGTATGAAAATTAACAAGTTACTCTTAGCAATTAAAATGTTTATAGAGTTCTTAATTTTCATTTGTCTACGTACACATGATTTTAATTCCCAGATTTTAATTACATCTGAAAATTCCTTCCAAAAACTGCTTGCTCACTCAGAAGTCAATCCTGGATATAGTAGTACTGAACAGACCTGGACAGAATTTTACTCATCCAGAACCCTTTCTAACTTTTTTGAATTTTCATGCTCAGTTAGAAAGATAATGGAAACATAACACTTGAACAGAAATCGGTTTCCTTTCAGTTGCTCTTTCCAGTTCAGGTCCCAAATGTGATTGCAGGTTGTAAAGAACTTCTCTCATGCACATCCTTTTCTTTGACTATACATGTTAGGCATAATGCCAACAATAAAGATGCACACATTCTCAAGAGAGGACCTAAATTACGTAAATTGACTCGTATGTATAAAAAGGAAGAGATGGATTATAAAGCTCACAAAAATGTATCTTTACCTCCAATCAATGATCTGACTACTCTACCATAGTAATTTGCTGGAACAGCCAGCTGCCACAGTATTATTCATTATTTTTACAGGGGTAACTAATGATTTAGATATATATATGCAAGTCCCACTACTTGACAAAGTTTGAGAAATCCAGACAAAGAAACATGGCTTGCAACAGAAACTTACAAGTTGGCAATTAAAATTAGAATGCTTTCACCCACTTTTTATTGATGAAAGTACCTCCCTTCTAACATACTATTGTACTATAATAAAAGGAGTACTTGTGGCACCTTAGAGACTAACCAATTTATTTGAGCATGAGCTTTCGTGAGCCACAGCTCATGTGTACCAGTTTCCACGGTACACATCTGATGAAGTGAGCTGTGGCTCACGAAAGCTCATGCTCAAATAAATTGGTTAGTCTCTAAGGTGCCACAAGTACTCCTTTTCTTTTTGCGAATACAGACTAACACGGCTGTTATTGTACTATAATGAATCTCAGACATTTATAGGTGAATGCAGACCCAAAACACAAGAATGATAAACAAGTGTTTAACAAGCTCAGTCCTAACTGCCACATACAGATTAAGAAAAACTAAACACCACTCAGATTTTCTCATTTACTTATTTGGGTATGAGAACTGATGATATAACCACAACTTTATATGAAGGTTTACAAACTAGTGCTCCCTCTGCTGGGAATGGAACAAATTGATTGTAAGAGAAATTTTAACCCCCTTCTACCCCCACACTTTGTGACAGAAATTGATTTGAAAAGAAAGCTATGGATGCACATGCTACATTTTAGAATCCAAAGAACAAATACCACCAAATTGTTTTAAATGCTACAAGTCATTTGACCTTAAATTTCTTAAATTACTTTTTTACTTTAAAAGGGATGCTCTTTATTACACCTAAAATTTCTTTAGCACTTATTTTTGCAACAACTAAGATTCCTGTAACTAGAAAATTACAAGTTTGTTTGTATACTCTGTGCATTTGACTGCATGTTGCGTATAGCTGCTTTTACAATTTCTCCTATACGAAAAGAAGTTCGTGAATTCATATCCCCTATCTGTGTGGCTCTTTTACTTAAGAACGGGAGAGAGAAATAACATCTTTTAAAATAAATAGTAAAATGTAATTGTAAAACCACAGGAACTGGCAGGTGGTGCATGGAGAGAAACAGTACTTGAAACTACATTTAAGTTTGTTTGTTTTTAATGACCAAGTTTTAAGTTGTTGGATTCCTTTTATTACAAATTAGCTATAACAATCTACTATCAAATCCTTGCTTGTTTATGTAAGCCAAAATGTTGTATTTTCTCTTTAGCAGAAAGAAAACTGTTAGTGGTGATTTAATTACAGTGAAACATTAAAAACTATTGTACAGTAATAGTTTAGGCCCCCAAACTGACATATTAAAGCTATAAACTGGTCATGTTCTTTGAGAATATTTCTGTTCATATTAGTATGCTAGATAAGGTTAAAATATCTGGCTCCATTACCAGACTCAGACCTGAACTCCACAAAGTTAACTGCATCAGGGTCTAAACTCTCTTTAGTGGTCAAGTCTTAAATAAAAAATAAAATCCAACAGAGAACTTGCCCTTTACCCCTTTTTAGCCTGCACCTCAATCAGATACATTTTAAGGTTTTATTTGATTAATCTTTTATTGCTACAAACTGAACTTTCCAGACACGGTTGTTTTCTAACAACTTTCAAAAGCTGTATTGTTTTAGTAGACAGGTGCAGCTAACTATCTTTGTACAACGGAGAATTCAAGTTTAGTGAGGCTTGCAAAGCAGTTTAGAGATGCTTCAGAATAAATACCATTTTTTCCTATACTGCTTCCTATTTATTATATAGTGAGATGAAACACCACACATACAAAAAGGCCTACTTCAGTTATATAGTAACAAAATAAAAAAACCTAAAACTATCAGAGGACAGCCTGTGCTTTTTGAAGGGTCTGCTGACATTTATATTCAGATCCTCATATGCAGACACTGCATGCAGCTTACGGGACACACAATAAACTGCAATGTCCAGAATTAGTGACTAACTTAAGTGACTGAAACCAAAATAAAAAGAAAATACGAAGGCAACAGAAATCACTTTACGCTTATATAAGACTGGTTCTGTTATAATATAAAGGGCTACCTGGCACTTAACATTTGAAGCAATCAATTTTTTTAAATTTGCCTATAATACTGGTGTTGATATTACTTCCACAAAAATTATGAAAAACTTTAAAAAAATTCTAGCCCTTCCTGGAGGGTAATAACATGTGTGTATAGCCATCAGCTTTATCACCTAAAACAGATATTTTAGTGCTACAGAAGTCCAGCCTACAATCTATTGCCAAAAATTAAACATTTTAAATATGTATAGCTTCACAGCTGTAGTCTGTCCACCCTTAAATAAACTTTTGCAAAGTATCATAAAATAGGTATCCCACCTTCTCTCTATACAATACTGGATAAGAACTATTTTAGTTCAACTACCACTTTACCCCAGCAAAAAAGGCACTTAAGGACTCCAGAATACTTTCAAAATGGGGTTGGGGGACTGGTTGTCTTTCCTTAAACAACACACACAAAAAAGGAAAGAAAGCTATTTAATTCAGCAGATTATTAAATCTATGAGGGGAACATCCCCCTAAATAACCTAACAGAAATAAGCAACTGCTAGTTTACAAATCCCACAGCTCCAGTAATTGGGTTTAAGAGCAGCAGACTAGTGCAGAGGGGACTCTAGCTAACAGCTAAGCAGAAAAAGCAGGGACTGAGTGACAAAGAGACCGTGTCTGTCTCTCTTTCAGTCTCTGCCTCTGGTGCATGCACCTCCCAGCAGCTCTCTCCCTATTTAAAGGCTGATGTGGTGTTTAAATGGAGAGGCGGTGACGTGGGGCTGGAAAGCACCTTCCCATCCTGGCAGAGTCTATATTAGAGAGCGGCAATGGCTCTATATAAACAGGGCAGCCACAGGGAGGAGGAACACAAGGAGCAGGGAGACAGAAAGGCAGGGGAAGCCATGATGGATCTCACAGAGACACAAACAAGGGGGCCAAGCCTGCACCGTAACCGCCCGGACTCGGGGTTTGTCAGCAGCTTTTTGGGGGTAGGCTTGTGGATGGTTTATTCTTTTCAGAGGGGAAGGGAAAGAAGTGATCGGTGGGGCTTGGTGGCTACACAGATTTATGTGACTGCTTATTGCACACCTATGTGAATACAAGTAAAACAAGCCACCTGAGAGTGCAGAAAGCACAAGGGGGAGGAAGGGGTGAGTTGTTTTTTAATTATTTCCTTGCCACTGGGAGAGGCTGGAGGGGGGTTTCTCCTCCGTCAGCCGAGTCTGCAGGGCTGGGACAAGTGCTTTTCAACCATCGCCTCTTTCTTATAACGCTACATAAAATGGCTCCAGCAGTGCCAGGCTGGGTTCCACACATGCCACCAACCCGCCACCTCGCCCCGCACCCCGACGCGGGAGGCAGCGCCTAGCTTCTACAGCAGCATCTCCCCTCGCATCCCCCGAGGAGGCTCGCCCCCTCCCCAGCCATCCCCCCAGCCTGATGGCGGAGCTACCCGGCTCCCCCCGCCCCAGGCTCGGCCCGCCTCGGGGCTCCTCGCTGGCAGAGACGCTGCCTGCCCGCCGCTCGGCTCTACGCCGCCGCCCCCAGCCCCCGTCCCACTCCGGCGGGTCCCGGCGCCTCTCCCCGCCGGCTCGGGGCTGCGCTCGCCTCCGCCGGAGCGTCAGCAGAAGTTGGCGCCTGGCTGGGGGCGCTGCCCCGGCCAGGCCGACCGTTCCCAGCCAGCGATGGCGGGGGGCTTTGAGCCCCGCCTGTGTCGCCGCCCAGGGCCCCCCTTTCCCCCCGGCCCGGTCCTTACCACGGGGTTTGTGTTAGCCGAGCTCGCCATGTCCCGAGCCCCCCGGGACACCCCCACCACGGCGGAGTCGCCCCTAAAACAATAAACCTGCCCGGCGCGTCCCCCCCGAGCCCCGCGCGTCCCGCCCCGGCACACGGGGAGCCCCGCGGCCTGGCCCGGCCTCGTTCGCCGACCCTCGGGCTGCAGCCGCCGCCACCAGCCGCCCGCTCTGCCCGCTTCGCCCCTTTATATAGCAAGAGCCGAGCAGCTGCGCGAGCGGCCAGGGCGAGAGGGGGACGCGGGCGGGGGAGAAGCGAGGCTGCGCGCGAGAGCCTGTGGGACAGAGCTCCGCCCCCGCCCGAGGTCACGTGTGAGGCTTGCTCCGCCGCCATGACACCTACTGAGGCGGAAGTGGCGGAGGGGTCACGTAATATGCTCCCGCGCTCAGACCTACCGAGGCGGAAGGGAAGGTTCTCCTGCCCTCTTAGTGCCTCTGCCCGGTCAAGATGGAACTACCAGTGAATCCGGGACAGCCCCGGCCCCCCACGACCTCCGGACACGCACAGCGAGTCGGCCTGCCGTTGTCCGGGGCAGAGCTCGAGAGGTATACACAGTCCAACACACTAGAGAACCGGGGCTGTCCTGTTGACTTGACTGTGACACTGAATATTGTTAGCATCGTCTCTCACATGACAGTATCTATTAGAATCTGCCAGCAGGCAGCAGCTGATCTATGGATCTAGCTTGTCTGAGACATCTGTCTCCACAGTGCATAGGAACAACATATGAGAATTAAGCTTATGCTCAAATAAATTGGTTAGTTTCTAAGGTGCCACAAGTACTCCTGTTCTTTATATGAGAATGAGTGGGGGTAAATTAAAAAAAAACCTGATAAGAGGAAATACATTTTTACACAAGGCATAATTAACCCACAGATGTAACTTCCGGAACATGTTATTGAAGCTATGAGCAAAACGAGATTTAAAAAGAAGTTAACAAGGCTATTTATTGTTACTCTGTAGAGGATAACAATAAAGGGATATAAACATATGTCTTGTCTCATGTCTTATATTTAGTTTGTGAGCTCCTTGGGCCAGGGACTTTTTGCTCTTTTTTGCTCTTTGTTTGTACAGTGGGGTCCTGGGCCAGGACTAGTTCTCTTCAGTGCTACAGTTATACAAATAAAAAATAATATTATCCTGGAATGGGGATAATGATCATGTCTTGAAATGTTTGGAGCATGTAGTTGCTAACAGGACTAGTGAAAGAAATCTTAGACGTGGTCTATATCCCAAGAACTTGACAGTTTTATTACATATTGATTACAAAAAGAAAAGGAGTACTTGTGGCACCTTAGAGACTAACCAATTTATTTGAGCATGAGCTTTCGTGAGCTACAGCTCACTTCATCAGATGCATACCGTGGAAACTGCAGCAGACTTTATATATACACAGAGAATATGAAACAATACCTCCTCCCACCCCACTGTCCTGCTGGTAATAGCTTATCTAAAGTGACCAGCAGGACAGTGGGGTGGGAGGAGGTATTGTTTCATGGTCTCTGTGTGTATATAATGTCTTCTGCAGTTTCCACGGTATGCATCCGATGAAGTGAGCTGTAGCTCACAAAAGCTCATGCTCAAATAAATTGGTTAGTCTCTAAGGTGCCACAAGTACTCCTTTTCTTTTTGCGAATACAGACTAACACGGCTGTTCCTCTGAAACCTGTCATATTGATTACAGTAACTGAGCACCTGAGAGAAGACTGGTGTCTCTCTTCCCACCATCCACCACCACATATAGCCCCTCTCTTCCTGCCACAATTTCCGTCTCACCCTCCCCTTCCCGACCCATTAAAACTTTAGAAGTCCGGTATGCACAAATATTGTTGGTAGAACCTGCCACCATCTATTTTTCTTTGGGGGACGGGATGGGGCTTGTCAAGGTTCCTCCCCCACTCTGAACTCTAGGGTACAGATGTGGGGACCTGCATGAAAAACCTCCTAAGCTTATCTTTACCAGCTTAGGTCAAAACTTCCCCAAGGTACAAAATATTACACCCGTTATCCTTGGAATGGCCGCTACCACCACCAAACTAATACTGGTTACTGGGGAAGAGCTGTTTGGACGCATCCTTCCCCCCAAAATACTTCCCAAAACCTTGCACCCCACTTCCTGGACAAGGTTTGGTAAAAAGCCTCACCAATTTGCCGAGTGACTACAGACCCAGACCCTTGGATCTTAAGAACAATGAGCAATCCTCCCAACACTTGCACCCCCCCTCTCCTGGGAAATGTTGGATAAAAAGCCTCACCAATTTGCATAGGTGACCACAGACCCAAACCCTTGGATCTGAGAACAATGAAAAAGCATTCAGTTTTTACAAGAAGACTTTTAATAAAAAATAGAAGTAAATAGAAATAAAGAAATCCCCCCTGTAAAATCAGGATGGTAGATATCTTACAGGGTAATTAGATTCAAAAACATAGAGAACCCCTCTAGGCAAAACCTTAAGTTACAAAAAAGATGCACAGACAGAAATAGTTATTCTATTCAGCACAATGCTTTTCTCAGCCATTTAAAGAAATCATAATCTAACACATACCTAGCTAGATTACTTACTAAAAGTTCTAAGACTCCATTCCTGTTCTGTCCCTAGCAAAGACCAGCATACAGACAGACCCAGACCCTTTGTTTCTCTCCCTCCTCCCAGCTTTTGAAAGTATCTTGTCTCCTCATTGGTCATTTTGGTCAGGTGCCAGCGAGGTTACCTTTAGCTTCTTAACCCTTTACAGGTGAGAGGAGCTTTCCCCTGGCCAGGAGGGATTTCAAAGGGGTTTACCCTTCCCTTTATATTTATGACAGGGCTATATCTCAGTAAGCTCTTGCTCAAATTATCCCAAATGTAGACCACTAACTCCAGCCTCCTTCCCACCCCACCCCCTCGCAGAGTCACAGCACATTTCAAGACAATCCAGGCATGCATGCAAATTAAAATGAAGAATTAATTAAAAGAGTATGTAGAAGAAACATAACAAAAGTTTTCTCAATCTTAACTGTAGCAGAGCTGGTGCTCTGCTATATCTGTGTATGAAATTAATAATTAATTATCCACTGCTTTATTGCATACGGATCCCCAGCACAGGATGATCCTGAAAACATAGGAAGCTCAGAGATGTGAAGTGGCCCATTCATCTGAATGTGATGGTCTCTGCTGAATCAGAACATTCCATGGAGATGAATACACCTTGAAACAATAGCTCTGAGATGTGTGAACTTCTCCCTTCATCTCAATGGGTGTCCCATCCCCATTCCTGAAAGCTTGAGAGCATGGGATATACATCAAGCATGACCACTCCCAACTCTTCATCCCCATCTCAGCAGTGTGTTCTTGACACATGGCTCTCCGTATGCCTGTTCTGAGCTCCCCACCCAGGACAGGGCTTCCCCAGATCCCCACAGCCCCCCTCATTCTCCTCCAGTTCTGATCCAGCCCCCTCAGGTCTCCCTAACACCCGTCCAGCCTCTTTGAGTCCCCCAGCTCCAATCTAGTACCCCTCCTGCCCCCCTTTCCTGATCCACTCCTTTAGCCCTGTTTTAAGCCCCCACAAGCCGTCCCCTAGACCTCCTCTCAGTTCCCTCCAGCTCTGCTCCAACTCCCCCCACTCCCCCATCCTCCCATCTCTGATCTAAATCCCCCAAGGGTGCTCCAACCCACTTCTCCCACCCTCAACATCTCTGATCCCTCCCCCCGGCTCTACCCACTTCTGCTCCATCCTCTCCACCCCAAACTCCCTCTCCCTCAATCCCTCCCAGTTCCCCCTGCTCCTCCACTCCATACAAAGCAGCCAAAGCTTTTGCCTTAAACTCTGTCTCTAGGGGAGCTGTGTTTCCTGTCTCTACTCTACCATGTTCCCATGCATTCCCCAGCACTATGATCTCCCCGTGCCTTCTCCACACACCCTTGCTGGCTACTCACAACTGGGGCCCAGGGTTGCCCCAGCTACAGGGGCCCCTCAGCCCAGCCCCTTCTGCCCTGGAGGGCCAGCACACTTCTTCTGGCAGCCCCGTCTGCTGCGGTGCAACACAGCTCATCTTCTGCTGGACTGGCAGTGGCATGAAGGGGGATACGTGTGTGTGGCTAGATCCGAGAGCCCTCCATGGCTAGCAGCCCTTTGTACCACCAGCACAAACAGCCCATCCCCTGTCCTGATTGCCAGACCCCTGGGTTCTATCTACTGGGGATAATCTGTGTATACACTCCTGTTTGATTTTGAGGCAGTGGGTATACAGGCTCCGGGATGCTTGGGTCCTACACACTGCACCAACCAGGGGTGCAGTTCCCTTACATCTCCAGACAGGGGATGGCACCCCCATTCCTGTTGTCTCTCTGTCCTCATGGGTTCTAAATTGAAATCATATTCTAACTGGGCCCCGATAACCTCATGATGCCTGGCGTGATTGCACCACTTTAGTTATGTTAGTGGGCTACATCTTGGGGACCCCTTGGTTAAGTGATCCCAAATCTGGATCAGTAACCCTCACCCCCATGAGGCACACAAAATTTCAAGGCAATTTGAATAACCATGCATATTTTAGAGCTTGTCTTTAACTTAATTAATTATAACTACAGCAGTGGCAAGTTCCCTGCTATAATAGACAAGACACAAAACGGGAGGGAGGGGAAACAAGCACAGAGAGGTGATTTGACTTGCCCAAGGTTACACAAGAGGTCAGTAGAGCTAGGAACAGAACTGGCCCACCTGAAATCCAGGCCAGTACCTATCCACAAGGAGATTATAGTGCCTCTCAATATATACAACTATATGTGTCTAATGCACAGTGGTTTCTGGCTGCTAATCTACACTGGGATCTTTGTCTTGATTAAGTCACAAAATAGCTCCAAGCCTGCGTTTTTCCATCTGTAGAAAGAGTATAATACAGAGGAGAAGAAACTGTAATTCTTAATCAGCATTTATAACTTGGGATAAGTAGATTAAAAGTGATATTAAAGTATGTTTTATTATGAACTGTCAATCTTGTTTCTTTGTTAAAGTAAGATTAACATGGCAAAATTAAACACAAAAAAGTTCGGAAATGAAAAAGGTAAGATTCTATCAGTAAATTGCCCATACTTTATATTAATATTTACTCTGTATTAATAACTCTATCATATTAATATTATAGAGATAGTCTGTATTAACAACTTTATCATATTCATATGATAGAGTTAGGCCCAAGCTGCAAAGTGCAGATGTATGTAGAAGAAACATCCTTTAAACAAACGTTTTCTTAATCTTAACTGTAGCAGAGCACGCTATAATTGTGTGTGAAATTAATCATTATCTGATGAGAACCAAATTTTCCAAAATTCAGGTGGTCTGATCCAGGGTCTTAGTTTGACCCATTATGGAGACAGGAGCTAGCCGGTATGTTCAGCTGGAGGTGACTAGAATTTGTTTGGGCCCATCACTACTAATTAGTCAATGGAATGTGGAGGCAAATTAGTGTGGCTCAGATTGAAGTCCTAATCTTTTTGTGTTTTTAGTTGTATGTACTTATAAACTGTGATTTTTTTCAACACCACTCCCCCAAGAGGCATGGAGTCAAAGGCAATGTACTTAGGTTTACACAGTGTCAGCGTAGACACCGTATTACTTTCATCGACTGTTACTGGCCTCCAGAAGCTGTCCCACAATGCCCCACAGTGACCACTCTGATCACCATTGTGAACTCCACTGACCAGAGGCCTCTCCCCTTTAAAGCCTTGTGAATTTTTGAAATTCCTTTTCTTTGATGCTCAACTTGGCAAGCATACCTAGCAATTCTCCATTGTTGTATGCAACTGCCCAGCTGACCATGCCACCTACACTTGCAGACGTGCTCCTGCCTGGAGTGCACAGGAGGTGTTGGTTGGGTCTCTTGGGTCTGTGGCGAGAAGAGGCTGTACATACACAGTTCCAATCCAGCCATACAAATGTGGACATCTACAAGCAGATTGCTCTGGGCATGCGGGAGAAAGGCTACAACAGGGACCAACAACAGTGCCATGTGAAAGCTAAGGAGCTGTGGCAGGCATACCAAAAGGCAAGGGAGGCCAACAATTGATCTGGTGCAGAGCCGCAGACCTGCTGCTTTTACAAAGAACTGCATGCCACCCTCAGTGGAGACCCCGCCATCATCCCCAAAGCCCCATGGATACTTCGGAGAAGCCTGAGACACAGGCCCCTACTATAAACAGTGAGGAGGAGGAGGTGGATGAGGAGCATGGGGAACAGGCTACTGGTGATACAGCTGCACAGCAAGCCAGGATGTGTTTTTGGCTTCACTGTAAATTACAGGGATGGAACGCCCAAAGTAGCAGGACACATCTGTTGATTTACTCTTTTTTACTTGTGCTAGAAGAAGTAGTGAAACAACGAAAAGAGGTTGAATTGCTATCTGCTTTTCATTCCCCTCTAGAGTTAGGCGGTGGGGAGGGGGCGGAGAAGGGGGGCAATGCGGACCAGTTTGTTTATGCGCACCGGGATGTCCTGTGAATCCTCCAAAAAGATCTCAGTTAAGCTTTCATGGAGGTACTCTGCAATCCTCTGCCAAAGGTTGCTGGGGAGGGCTGCCTTATTTCTTCCTCTATGGTAAGACACTTTCCTGTGCCATTTAGCGATTACTTCAGCAGGGACCACTGCAGTACACAGACTAGCAGCATATGGGCCCAGGCAGCATTGGGATGCCAGCAGCAGCTGTGCTCTCTCTGGCTTTGTTACCTTCAGGAGTAAGATATCAGCTAAAATCAGCACTGCCTGTGGAAAACGGTGTCAGTATTCAGCTCTACTGCTCTATACGCATATACTCATGCCTCTGAGGCCTTGTCTACACTACCCGCTGGATCGGCAAGTAGTGATCGAGCTATTGGGGATCGATTTATCATGTCTAGAGTAGACGTGATAAATCGATCCCTGATTGCTCTCCTGTCAACTCCGAAACTACATCACAGCGAGAGGCAGAAGTGGAGTCGACGGGGGAGCGGCCATTGATCCTGTGCCGCGAGGACGCAAAGTAAGTGATTCTAAGTCGATCTAAGATATGTCGACTTCAGCTACACTATTCTCGTAGCTGAAGTTGTGTATCTTAGATCGATCCCCCCCCCACTGTAGACCAGGCCTGAATTATTCCCCCACCCTCATTTTCCCACCCCCACACCTGAGGACTATACTCAGCATGGTTGGTGCTGTGACTGGCACTGCCAAGGTAGAGTTGCCAACTTTCTAACAGCAGAAAACCAAACACCCTTGCCCTGCCCCACCCCTTCTCTGAGGGCCCCCTGCTCACTCCATTGCCCCCTCCCTCCATTGCTCACTCTCCTCCACCCCCACTTGCGCATTTTCACCAGGCTGAGGCAGGGGGTTGGAGTGCAGGAGGGGATGAGGGCTGTGGCTGGGGGTGTAAGCTCTGGGGTGGGGCCAGGGATGAGGGGTTTGGGTGCAGGAGGGGGCTCTCGGCTGGGGGTGCAGGCTCCAGGGTTGGGCTGAGGGGTTCGGAGTGCAGGAGTGGGTGTGGCCTCCAGGAGGGAGTTGGGTGCAGGAGGGGGCTCAAGGATGGGCAGGAGGTTGGGGTACTTACCTCAGGCAGCTCCCAGAAGTAGCAGCATGTCCCTCTGGGTGTCTCCTAGGCAAAGGTGTGGCCAGGCAGCTCTGTGTGCTGTCCCCATCCATAGGCGCCGCCCCCGCAACTTCCATTGGCCATAATTCCTCGGACGTGCTGCTGCTTCTGGGAGCCGCATGGAGCCAGGGTAGGCAGGGAGCCTACCTTAGCTCTGCTGCTGTGCTGCTGACCGGACTTTTAGCGGCCCGGTCAGTGGTGCTGACCAGAACTGCCACAGTCCCTTTTCGACCAGGCATTCCGGTTGAAAACCGGGATGCCTGGCAACTCTAGCACCGTACTATATCAATTCCAAGGGGAAGTGAGAATGTAGCACTTATAACTTTCTGGGATCAAGGGGAGTGAGTTCAGTATCCTAAGTTTCAATTTCTGTAGTGAAAACATCGACAATGGCACTTTTCTGTGTTGTATCTGCAGCTGATGCCATTGTGGCCTTGAGGGTCTCCCCCTCCACACCCATGGAACATCTGAGGCAGATAAGGAGGAGAAAGAAGAGGACTTGGGATGACATGTTCCAGGAGATGCTGCAAGCCAGTGTTGCATCAGAGAATGACACCAGGGCCTGGAGGATGACCCTTGCAGACAGCATGCAGAAGGCAAGAGTGGAGAGAAGGAAGGCCAGGAATCCAAGCTGGAAAAGAAGAGGGAGATGCACCAGGACATAATGGGGCTTCTCAGGCAGCAAACAGAGATGCTGCAGACTCTGGTAGACCTGCGCTCAAGCGTCCTGTGCTGGCCTCCCTCTGCAGCCCATAGGCAACTCAATGTCCGGACCTCCCTACGCCTCCCCTCAGCGTCCATGTGCCATTAAGAGCTGCTGCACTACCCTACCACTCCACCCCGAGGAACGTTAAAGACAATCACAAGTGCACATACACTGACCTGTGAAAGACATGGTTGGTGTATGTGTATCTGAAATGGAAATGACTGTTCTTTCCCCTTCATAATTTCTGGTCCCTTAATTTTTTATGATTTATAAAGTGCTAAATAGTTGTTTTATTTTCCTGGCTCATGTTACAGAATACAATTCTATTTTTTGGAACATAAGTCATCTTTATTAATTCACAACATATGCTGACTGGTGCTGAGCAGGGCTGACATCGACCAATTTCCTGTTACTTTATTTTATCACAGAACACATAACATCAATCTCAGACAGTATTAACAGGTGCATTGTCAGTGTTATATTCCTACACGTAGCACTCACTGCAAGATTCATACTGGGCTGCAAAAGAGCAAGGCTTGTTAGAGCACACTACAGCACCGCACACTACTCTGGCTCACTATTAAAATGTTCTTTCAAAGCCTCCCTGAGCTGTATAGCTCCACATTGAGCTCTTCGAATAAACCTTGTGTCTGGCTGACAGCTGCTCCACCTCTGCCCTCCATCCCAGCAAAACTTTCCCCCCTTTGCGTCACAGATATTATGCAGAACACAGCAGGCAGATATAACCATTGGGATATTTTTCTCAGTGAAGTCTAATCTTGTGAGTAAACAATGCCAAAGGCACATTCAACTGTCATGCTGCACCTGCTGAGCTGGTAGTTGAATTGTTCCTTGGTGCTGTTGAGGTTGCCGGTGTACAGCTTCATGAGCCATGGGAGCTAGGGGTATGCTGGGGGGAAAGAAAGTCCCTGCTGGTCAGGAAAGAAAGTCCCTGCTTGCAGATTTCTGAACATTCCTGGGTTCTTAAAGATGTGCACGTCATACACCTCCCCTGACCAGTCCACACTGATGTCAGTAATGTATCCGTGGTGGTCCACCAGCACTTGTATTACCATGGAAAAGTAGCCCTTTCTGTTGATATACTCTGTGGCAAGATGGTCTGGTGGTAAAATAGGGATATGTGTACCATCTAGCACCCCATGTAGTTTAGGAACCCCATTGCTGAAAAACCATCCACTATGCCCTGCACATTGCCCAGAGTCACAATCCTGCATGGCAGCAGTCAATTAATGGGCTAGCACACTTCCATGACAGCCACCCCTGCAGTGGATTTCCCGACTCCAAATTGATTCTCGACTGTCCGGTAACAATCTGGCATTGCAAGTTTCCACAGTGCAATCGCCACTCACTTTTCAGCTGTCAGTGTGGCTCTCATTTTGGTGACCCTATGCTGGAGGGTTGAGGGATTTTGGCATACAGATCCAGGAATATGGCCTTGTTCATTTGAAAGTTCTGCAGCCACTGCTTGTTATCCCAAACCTGCATCACACTGCAATCCCACCAGTCAGTGCTTGCCTCTTGGGCCCAGAACTGGCACTCCACTGTCTACAGCTGCTCCATGAATGCTGCCAACAAGCTTGAATTGTTTCTTTCTGTGGCTCACAGCAATCAACCCTCCAAGAAATTGTCATGTTCCCTATGGCTCCTCTTGCAGCTCTGCAACACTGCAGGATCAGATGCCCTGTGCTTGAAATGCTCATGACAATAGTGCAGAGCTGTGCAGGCTCCATGCTTCTGTCAGCAATGATGGACAGCAAGGAAGGACACACAGGTTTGTGGGGATTTTGAAAAGAGGCATCAAATATTATGGGATGCAGATGAAATTATGGGGTGGAGAACACTGCATTGTGGGAAGTTGAACTCATGCTCCCAGTCACCCCTGCATGGCTCATTTCAGCCCCAGAAGGCATTGTGTAAACTTCCCACAGCACCCTGTGCTAGATGGTGGTGAGTTGCACAGTGGGATAGTTACCCATGGTGCACTGCATTCTGCATCGATACAAGCGCTCCTAGTGAGGATGCGCACCGCCGACACAAGAAGTGTAGCGTGCACGCACACAAGCAGTACAATAATTGGTGGCTGTATGTCAACATTTTTTAGGTTGACATAATTTTGGAGTGTAAACATGGCATAAGTCAGAGTCTCCCTCTTAAATTATCTTCAATTTTAATTTCCCTTTTTAAAAAAAGCTTTATTTTCAGCGCTTTTACTGTCATTTGCCATCCTGCAAAAGTGAAGAATGGACAATAAATCCAGAGGGTTTACATAAACTAAGAGAAACCAATACCAAACCACAGGATCAGATTACAATGTTTAGAGAGCATCATCTTTCCACCATATAGTGAAGTTACCCAATGAAGTCTGTGTGATGTTTTGAGGAACATGATATATTCCCTTAACTCTGGAAACCACTGTTAGATGCATTAAGAATAGCTAACATATTGATTGCTCATTTGGACAGCTGAATAAAGTAGCTGCTGGCTGAAACATCCTGGAGTAATCAGTGAAGGCCATTTATCAGCATGCTGTTCAGCTCAAAATCCTTTCTCAGATTGACTGATGCAGGGTCTTGTGTGTGGTGAGAGTCTTAACTGCTTTTTAAATGCAGTTATTTTATTACCTGGGTTTCTCATTGCTGGGGTTCATGGATCACAGCCAATGACGTTTTGTCTGTTGCCATAACCCCATCATCAGTTGAACAGTGATGATTCAGAACAGTTGGAGGCTGAGTGTTTGACAAATCTTCTGTCACTTAAACAGCACAAAGGCTGGGCAGTATCGAAGGAATGTGCTGTCATGGAGTTGCTGCTGATGGAGTAGGACACACATTCACAGGCAGGCTCTTCACCATCAGAATTTTAGAATTCTCCCCACCACTATCCAGAAATCACATACAATAATTAGAACGATTGTTTATTTGTATTATGGTAACCCCTAGAGGATCCATTGTGTTAGCCACTGTACATGTACACAATGAAAAGATGGTCACTGGCCCAAAAAGCAGGTCCTTCTTGCATTTTAGTTTGCATAATGACAGGTGGTGTCTACATCTGAGTGGTGGATCAATTGATTCTTGTTCAGATAGGGGAAAATCCTAAAGTTATACTCAGAGTTTGACAGACTTTGACAGTCTATACTTCAGCAAAATTCCCAGTGACTCCTATTTTGCCTGAGTAAAAATGGAGTAAGGATTTCAGGGCCCCATTCTGACACCCTTACTCATTCAGTCCCACTGAAATCAACAGGCCTACTCATCTGAGTAAAGATGAACATGCAGGGAACTCCAGTTTAGGCCTTGGCTTGATGAGGGTTTAAAGTGTGATGTTAGCACATTTTAGCCAACATGTATGAACTAACAGTAGTTTGCAGTGTTGTTGTAGTTGTGTTGGTCCCAGAATATGAAAGAAACAAGGTGGGTGAGGTAATATCTTTTATTGGACCAACTTCTATTGGTGTAAGGGACAAGCTTTCGAGCTACACAGAGCTCTTCTTCAGGTCTCAGGAAGGAAGCAGCGTCTGAGCAGCTGAGCTAAATACAAATTGGGACAGATTGTTAAACAGACGGGGCAATGCATGTAACCCTCAATTGCCCACTTCATTTTGAGTGATCACCTCCAACATGTTTAGCATATCTGGCCCATAAATACCTTGCAATGCCAGCTACAAAAGTGCCTGGCGAATGCCTGTCTTTCAGGTGACATTGTAAATAAGAAGCAGGCAGCATTATCTCCCATAAATCATAATGGAAACAAACTTGTTTGTTTTGGTGTTTGGCTGAACAAGAAGTAGGGTGGAGTAGACTTGTAGGCTCTAAAATTTTTACATTGTTTTGTTTCTGAGTGCAGTTATATAACAAAAAAAAGTTGTAAGTTGACTTTCACGATAAAAAGATCGCACTACAGTACTTGTGATTGAAAAATACAACTTTTTATTTATCTTTTTCCAGTGTAAATATTTTAATCAAAAATAATATCAAGTAAGCACTGTAAACTTTGTATTCTGTGTTGTAATTGAAATCAATATATTTGAAAATTGTAGAAAAACATCCAAAATATTTATAATAAATTTCAATTGGTATTCTGTTATTGTTTAACAGTGCAATTAAAACTGTGATTAATCACAATTAATTTTTTTAATCACTTGACAGTTCTACTATAAACTTAGTTTGATGGAAGCTGCCTTATGTTGATCTAATAATGTTTGCATCTACAGTATCGCTGCCCTAACTCACCTGTTACGTTGACTTAGTTACTCCACGTCTGCGAGAAGTGTAGAGCTTAATTCAATGTTGACGGGCTGACAGAGAGGCAATATAGATGCAGCGTTGTATAAGTCGACTGAAGTGTCACACAATACTCCACTGTGAGCACTCTGATGATTGTTTTCAACTCCGCTGCACAGCAGCCAGGTACACAAGAAATAGCCCCTCTGCTGTAAAAGCCCTGGGAACTTTTCAATTCCCATTTCCTGTTTCATCAGTGTGGAGAGCTCACCAGCCCAGCTGATCATCAGATCAAAAGAAATCTGATGAGGTTCAATAAGGATAAGTGCAGGGTCCTGCACTTAGGATGGAAGAATCCAATGCACCGCTACAGACTAGGGACCGAATGGCTAGGCAGCAGTTCTGCGGAAAAGGACCTAGGGGTGACAGTGGACGAGAAGCTGGATATGAGTCAGCAGTGTGCCCTTGTTGCCAAGAAGGCCAATGGCATTTTGGGATGTATAAGTAGGGGCATAGCGAGCAGATCGAGGGACGTGATCGTTCCCCTCTATTCGACATTGGTGAGGCCTCATCTGGAGTACTGTGTCCAGTTTTGGGCCCCACACTACAAGAAGGATGTGGATAAATTGGAGAGAGTCCAGCGAAGGGCAACAAAAATGATTAGGGGTCTAGAACACATGACTTATGAGGAGAGGCTGAGGGAGCTGGGATTGTTTAGCCTGCAGAAGAGAAGAATGAGGGGGGATTTGATAGCTGCTTTCAACTACCTGAAAGGGGGTTCCAAAGAGGATGGCTCTAGACTGTTCTCAATGGTAGCAGATGACAGAACGAGCAGTAATGGTCTCAAGTTGCAGTGGGGAAGGTTTAGATTGGATATTAGGAAAAACTTTTTCACTAAGAGGGTGGTGAAACACTGGAATGCGTTACCTAGGGAGGTGGTAGAATCTCCTTCCTTAGAGGTTTTTAAGGTCAGGCTTGACAAAGCCCTGGCTGGGATGATTTAACTGGGAATTGGTCCTGCTTCGAGCAGGGGGTTGGACTAGATGACCTTCTGGGGTCCCTTCCAACCCTGATATTCTCTGATTCTATGATCATGGCGACTCAGTGCCACAAACATACTCCAGCCTTGAATACACAGGAGGTGGTGAATCTTATCTGTCTCTGGGGAGAAGAGTATGCAAGCACAGCTCCGATCCAGCTGTAGAAACGTAGACAGCTATAAAAAGATCGTGCGGGGCATAGAGGAGAAGGGCTACACCCAGGCCACACAGCAGTGCCATGTGAAAATCAAAGAATTTTGGCAGACATACCAGCAGACAAGGGAGGCAAACAGTTATTCTGGTTCTCCACCATAAACATGCTGCTTCTACAATGAGCTGCAAGTGATTCTTGGTGGCGACCCCACCATTACCCCCACATGCATCGTGGATACCTCACAGGAGTCTGAGTCCTGGGCCACCTCAGGCAACAATGAGGAGGAGATTTTAGACAAGGAAGAGGAGGAGAATGGGAGACAGGCGAGAGGGGGATCCATTCTCCCTGAGAGCCAGGACTAGCATTGTGGTCAAGCGTGTTGCTGGGGAAGGCACCTCTGATGAGTATGCTGTTCCAATCAAACTGTAGGAGTTACATGCTCATATATTTTATGTTTAATATGAAGAAAAAGTGAGGTGCAGTGGGTATCTGATTTCCAGTGGCCGCTCCAGCTACACAGAGGATGCCCCTCAGACAAGACTGTTTATGTGCACTGGGATGGCCCAGGAATCCTCCATAGAGGTCTCAAGGAAACTTTTATGAAGGTACTCTGCAATCTTTTGCAGAAGATTTGTTATTTCTTCCACCATGGTAGGCCACTTTCTCACGCCAGTCTAGTATTAATTCTGGAAGCATCACTGAGGTACACAGCATAGCAGCATGAGGGCCAGGTCTGTACCCGGACACTTGCAGCATCTGCTCCCCTGTCACCTCCGTTACCCTCAAGAGGCTGATATCACATAGGATCACCTAGAGGAAATGGTGGAAGTTTTCATTACAAGTGCTTGTACCACAAACAACAGAGCATGTCATTCTCCCACCCATGGTGATTTCCGGGTCCCTCAACCACGGTTTCCCTAACATGCTTGTGGTTTGAGTGGCAGGGAACGACATTGACCTAAGAATCTGCAAGCCCAGGGCGACTGTTACCAGCAGTGTCAAGGGAAGGGGAAGGGGGGTTCTGTGTTCTCTTGTGGCCGCAAACTCTCCCCCCACCCCCCCACCCCAGAGTTGCCTCGGCCACAGATCGCATTTTTGGAGGCTTAACACTGATCCCCAGTCTCTGTGAACCATCCATGTTGCTAAGAGGAGGGGGCATTGTCTACCTGCCCACATGTACTTCTCATGCAGGTTGCCCACAAGTTGCAGCACAAGGCCCATCACCCATGTCCCTGGGCCATACTCGCCATGGCTGGAACGGCAAATCGGTTCATTGAACAGCTAGGGATACTGATTATATTCCGTCTTGCACTTCAGTGAAATAAGGGGAGTGATTTTTAAATAGAAATTTTGTACTAGACCCAGGGTATGCACTGACAATGGTTGCCTTGTGCTGCGCATGCCTTACAGTGGAAAGCTTGGCCTTCAGCTTATCCTTCACACCAGTGGAGAGGTTTTTGCAGATTAGAAAACGGACAAAGAGAAAACACAATGACATGTTCAACGAAATATTGAACACCTCTGGCACTCTATGTATTCTTTGGCAAGGTGGTCTGGCGCCAAGGTGGTCTGTGCCCCACTGCAGTTAGGGAACCCCATCATTGCAAAACCATCCACTATGTCCTGCACATTGCCCGGAGTCACTATTCTTCTTAGCAGAAGTCGATTAATGGTCCTGCCACTTGGACCACAACAGCTCCCACAGTGGATTTACCAACTCCAGATTGATTCCCCACTGACCGGTAGCAATCTGGCATTCCAAGCTTCCAAACAGCAATCGCCACTCGCTTTTCCACTGTCAGAGCAGGTCTCCTTTTAGTATTGCTGGGGAAAGCTCCTGGGAAGTGGCCTTCCACATTTGAAAGTTCTGCAGCCATTGCTCATCATCCCATAACTGCGATCCCACCAGTCAGTGCTTGTTTCCCAGGACCAGAAATGACACTCCACTGTGTTCAGCTGCTGCGTGACTGCCAGCAGCAACTGGGAATTGTTTTGTTCTCTGGCTTGCAAGAGGGCTGCTCGAATGATATCACGTTTCACGTGGTGGCTCCCGTCTCGGCTCTGGAAATACTTCAGGATAAGGTGCAAGGTGTTTGTAATGCTCACAACAAGAGTGCACAGCTGAGCGGGGTCCTCACTTTTTGGGGTATTGTGTACATGCAGCTAAGCCAGCCTTTTGAAAAAAGGCCTGAAAAAGTATGGGTTGTTTGCTGTTGATATCAGGGGAGGGAGGGAGGAAGTAAACTGCATCATGGGAGGTTGAAGCTATGTTCCCATTCCCCCCCAACAATGTTTTGGTTCCATGAGGCATTGCAAGCCCTTCCCCAAAACCCCTGCTGCTAGTTGCACTGTGGGATAGCTGCCCAGGGCACACTGCTCTCTGCATTGATGCAAGTGCTGCTATGAGGATGCACTCCACCGACACAATGAGCGTGGTGTAGACCCGCCCAATCAACTTAATTACTGTGGCAGCTGGATGTCGACTTAAATTAAGTCGATTTAACTTTGTAGTTTAGACATGCCCTAAGAGAGTGCAGAGTGAGTTACATCGGTGTTACAATCAACCAATCCTTTCCCAGCTGAGATTCCCTTAAGATTTGTTTAGGTCCTGGTTATACTGGGATTTTTGCCTAGGTGTAACTAAACAGGGCAAATCTCCAGTGTAGATGTGCAGCACCAGTGTAAGTTACCAGGGTAAATCACATTGGTGCAAGCCTTGTTTTGCTTCTGTTCAGCATCTGTACATTAGAGGTTTGCAGTGATGTTACAATGTAATTACACCAGTGCAAATTTCTCTAGTCTAGACAAGCCCTTAGGCTCCTTTACATGTATTTACTCAGGGCCTTTAGGCTTTTGCCATCTGTATAATTTATTTACTTCTATAGAGTTTCTCCTGATTTACACTAGCATCAGTGAGTGAAGTATCTGGTCCTTACTTATTTAAATGTAACTTACACCTTCTCTTACACATCACCTTTGAATTTGTGTGTCTGCCACATGTGTCTGCCACAAGGACCTTGCCAGATGAGTCAGGATTCCTCATGTGCTAAATCTAGACTAAAGTTTGTGGTCCTGTCATCACTCAAGTTTAATTGATTTCCAGTTAACTCAAGTTAACTAAAATCTTTGTAAATGCTAGTTTAGACACTCCATAATTGTTTGTGTTCTGGAACGCTTAGACCCGCATTTACAAATGTGTTAGCCACACTACAGAGTGTTAGCTAATTGACTTATGATCTGCTAGAATTATTAGTTTCCCCAGGCATGCGTCCATATATAGAATCATATGATCAAAGAAGATTAGGGTTGGAAGAGACCTCAGGAGGTCATCTAGTCCAACCCCCTGCTCAAAAGAGGACAAACCCAACTAAATCACGTCATCATAGGGTCTGGTTCTCATTTACATTGCTCTGGCCGTGCAAAGGGACCTTAAAGGGGGCAGTAACTAAGAATAAACCTTCCATGGGGGGCTTTCTGGCATAAGGGCTCTTCATTAATCCTCCTCCTTGCTTCAGGATAGACTGTATGTCAGGGGAAGGCCAAGGAAGGGGAAAGAGAGCGAGAGCATGTAGTGAGAACATGCTGCATGCACACCACAGTATCACTATTCTGGGCTTCCCAAGGCACACAGGAGACCCTGGGATACAGATCATAAATCAGAGCAGCCTAAGTTACATTAAGGTCTGGGCAGGTACAGGCTGTTCCAAAATAATGGTAGTGCAAAGGCAGTTTAAAGTCACTTTTTTATCTCCGCCCCCACAGGCTGCATGCTGGGCCTCCTGAACTTCTTTGTGAGGGGAGGAGAAAATCTTACCACAGTTTCCTTTCTTTTCAATAAATGCCTTGGCATTTGTCTGGCTGCTGGAAACCTTGTCACCTGTATTGCCTTGATGTTCTGTTCAGTAGAAAATAACTCTGAGGTATTAGTAGTGCCTTTACCTGAACTGCATTCATTTCCATCACTGATATCCCAGGCAGCATCTAAATGTGTATGCGTACATTGGGCCTGGCTTGGCTGCATTCAGTGTTTTAACTGCTGCCTGCCAGAGGACCAGAAGGTTAACATCTTATATGTGAAGCAGCAGAAGTTGCCTTTAAAACTGAAGTGATAATGTCTCTGCCTGCATCATTCAACCAGTTGTATGAAACCAAGGTTGGCCAAAGCATGTCCCTTTGCCCAATGCTAAAGCCACCTGACTGTGGAAGTGAGGCTGGAGGACACGGCCATGTGACAATCACAGAAAGAGTCACTTTCTTCCAATCCTGAATAAGAACCTTATTAGAA